GTATCAAAATTAGAACAGTCTGAACTGAGTGGTGTTGATGAGTGTATATTTATAAATGTAGTTTCCCGCAGCAACTAGTCCAACAGTTCTTTTCCAGAGAGATGCATTTAATCAGCTCAGAGACAATCCATAAAACAGATGTACAGACAAGGCAGATGATAGGGTACTTAGAACATTCATGCAATCACCACACACCTTCAGAGAACACACTTTCTCCTGTCACACTTTCTCCTGACCCCACTCAACCAAAAAAACCTTCCCTAATATACACCTTTTCCCATTGACCAAAGTGTCGAGCAATCTGGTTGGTTTTATGAGCATGTTTGATCTTATGTGTCTTATGTGCAGAGGCGGACTGACCATTTGGAAACTCAGGCAGTGCCCGAGGGCCCGGGGTCAGTAGGGGGCCCCATGAGATGCCCCTGGTACCTTTTTCATAGGCTTTTTTGAGTTTGGGCAGGGACACAGGGGCCCCATGATCCCCTATTGCCCAGGGGCCCCATGAGTTGTCAGTCCGCTCCTGCTTATGTGTCTAGACCTAGAACAGCTGTATGCGTAGATTTTAATTAAAAAGTTAAATAGATACTCCTCGTCTTGTTTATGGCAAAACTACAATCTTCAACAGCTTTTTAAAAAGGAGGACAGGACACCCACCTTGAAATTCTCTTCACCATAAACAAGTACACTATGAATATTTAAGTCCTTTCCAAATATAAGCAGACAAACTTTCATTTTACAATGCAGGTAGATTTGCAAATAACCTGCTCTGAAACTCCCCCTGACTCTCCACATATTTATCCAAAAACAGGTTAACCGAACATAACAAAAGTAAGGTGATTACCTTCTGCATAAATGAACATAGTAAGGAGTCCTTGGCTAACCTTTTGGTCAGTAACGTGAATATGCACTATATATTATTATTATTATTATACAGTATTTATAAAGCGCCAGTAGTTCGCTCAGCGCTGTACAGTACAAAGGGGGACAGAACATGTGACAAAACAATACCAATACAATGCAAAACATGAGGGGATTGAGGGCCCTGCTCTTTCGAGCTTACAATCTAGGAGGGAGGGGATAGTGGTACAGGAGGAGATAGCTGTGGGGGATGGAGTGGTAGGAAGAGTGGAGGAGGTCGGCAAGTTAGCAGGGGGTGGGGTAGGCTTCCCTGAAGAGATGGGTTTTCAGGGTGCGCCTAAAGGAGAGGAGAGTAGGTGATAATCTGATGGGTTCGGGCAGGGAGTTCCAGAGGATGGGTGACACCCTGGAGAAGTCCTGGAGGCGGGCATGGGAGGAGGAGACCAGGGAACTGGAGAGAAGGAGGTCTTGTGAGGAGCGGAGTGTGCGTGCTGGGAGATACTTGGATATTAGGTCAGTGATGTAGTTCGGGGCAGTATGGTGGACAGCTTTGTACGTCAGTGTTCGGATTTTGAATTTGATCCGTTGCGCAATCGGAAGCCAGTGGAGGGATTGGCAAAGGGGGGTGGCGGAAACAGAGCACTTGGAAAGGTGAATGAGTCTGGCAGCCGTATTCAGGATTGACTGAAGCGGGGATAGCCAGCGGCGAGGCCAGTGAGGAGGGAGTTGCAGTAGTCGAGTCGTGATATGATGAGGGAGTGGATGAGCTGTTTAGTGTTTTCTGGGGTTAGGAACGTGCGTATTTTGGCGATGTTGCGGAGGTGGAGTCTGCACGAGTTTGTTAAAGATTGGACTTGGGGCTGGAAGGATAGGTTGGAGTCAAGAATGACACCAAGTACTCTGGCCTGCAGGGCGGGTTTGATGGTGGCGTTGTTGGATGTGATTGAGAAGTCAATGGGGGGTGGTGTCCAGGCTGGGGGGAAGACAAGAAACTCGGTTTTGGAGAGGTTCAGTTTAAGGAAGTGGAGCGACATCCAGTCTGATATGTCGCTCAGTAGGTGTGTGATTCGGGCAGAGACCGAGGGGGTGAGGCGAGGGGTAGAGAGATAGATTTGTGTGTCGTCGGCATAGAGGTGGTAGTTGAAGCCGTGAGAGTGTATGAGTTGGCCAAGGGAGGAGGTGTAGATGGAGAAGAGAAGGGGCCCAAGGACAGAGCCTTGAGGGAGCCCAACAGAGAGGGGGAGTGAGGGGCAGGTGGTAGCATTATAGGTAACGCTGAAGGAGCATTGTGACAGGTAGGATGAGAGCCAAAAGAGAGCAGAATCTCTGAGGCCGAGGGAGTGTAGTTTTTTTTTGGAGGAGGGGGTGGTCGACTGTGTCAAAGACCGCAGAGAGGTCAAGGATGATGGGGGGCACCGTCTCTGATGGGGGTGCTGCTTTTGATCGAGTGCTGCTTTGAAGGAGTGCATAGAAGTTATATATATATATATATATATATATATATATATATATATATATATACAATATCCTACAAGTGGGAATTTTAGTATGTAATTAATTAATTTAGCTTTGAGCAAGCATCTTTCAGGTATGTGGGAGCCCTTTATCCAGGAAGTTCTGAAATACTATAATTATTGATTTCCAGAAACCAAGCATCTTCAGTATGAAGCACTGCTAGACTTGTACTGTATATAATTTGTAACATTTTACGTTCTTACTGACCTGTGGTAGAACTATTAGGCTCCATGCACACTAGCGGGTTTTTTTAAGTTAAAAAAATGCAGGAGAAAAAAATTTCAGTTTTTAGAAGCGTTTAGGAGTGTTGGCGTTTTATTAGATTTTTTGCAGTACAGGGAGAAAAAAAAGCTAGAAAAAAGCTGTTAGGAGTGTTTTTAGTAGCCTCTAGGAGCATTTAGCGTTTTTTTTTTTCTGCTGGAAATATGTTCCCAAAAACTCTACAAAACAATTTTTTTTTCTGCTCTTGAACATTGAAGCTCAAAACTAATGCTAATAGCCTAAAGTAGTGTGCATGGACACATAGCATAACACTATTTAGATTCTAGGAGCAGAAAAAAATGCTAATAACAGCTTCTAGGAGCTTAAAAAAATACTAGTGTACATGGAGCCTTTTGGTTACAGTAGCAGCAATCAAAACCAGTCCCCTGAGTTTGGATGAGTTTTAAATTTTAACTCTTACTTCATGACATGGTTGACATAGTATGATCTGAAGGTATCTCCCATGGTTGCTGAGTTTCCCAATGATGCTGGGATGACAAAAATATTTTTATTCAAATGAACCAATAATAATAATAATAATAATTCAAATGAACTTCAAATAATTTTAAAGGTGTAGTATGTCTCAGAAGGAGTGTGAGATAATCACTTGCCTTTGATGGGTAGATTGCTTTGTTGGTGTTCCTTGGATGCAGGAACTGCTCAAAATGAGAAAGTTTTGGGTGCAATTGGCCTTTATCACACGTTAGAGATAGTATTTGAAATGAGAGAAAGGTGCCTTACATGAGCTCAGGTTCCAACCATCCAAAGTAAAATATCTTTATATCCTTAAAACTTAACCGACCAGGGATGGGTAGAAAACATTGATGGCCAAGAAATGTTAAACATTACACCCATTTCCATTCAGATGTTATTTGACCTATAGCTATCATTCATATGCAGAAGATGTCTGAAATAGGCCTGACAAATTTGTTATTTGAGTGTCCATATCGACATGGAAGCAGGGCCAGCTAAGAGAGCCATAATATTACTGTAGCAATGTTTTTATTAGTGTGAGTGTCTCATAATCATAGGGATAACATCTTCTATCATTGGACTTTGAGGTTGGATGAGTCAGTTATGGAATGTGACAGAGAAGGAAGTTTTGAGAAGGAGAACAGCGGCAGGAAGCACACATGACAAGTACAGGAAGTAATAATATATACTGTATATATTTAAACAATTATTTATCTAAAAGAATTTGAACATGAGATTGTTTTTTGGTAAGCAACACCTACCCATAGTGAAGAAATGTAGAAGAAATATTAGACAATATTGTAATTTTGAGTGTCTTGGTTTAAGACTGGTGACTACTGGGGTGAGGTGAAGTATCTTCCTGCTTTCATACCTAACTCTGTCATATTTTTTTTTCTTCCTTCTTCTCTTTTCCTCTCCTCTCCCCTTCCTCCTTTTCCCTGCACCTCTTTCTCAATCTTTGCTCTCTTCGCCCCCCTCTCTCTTCCCCTCTTGCCCTCCCTCCATCTCTTTCTTCTTCCCCCACTCTCTCCTGAGCATTTCCTTTATTCTCTACAAGGGTTTCTCAGTTAGACTTAGACGTTAAGGAATTATTGTATCACCTTTGAATATCACCTGATTGGGGATGCCCCCTTTATAACTACGGGGGGATCCGTATCTCTAGAATCCATAGACTACGCTAATTCCCATATTATTGTGTTTTTCCCATCCTTATCACTTTTGATGTTCTCATAATTCTTTCTTTTATGCTATGCATTGTTTGATTTATTGCAAAAGACAAATTTGCCTTTAACTCTGTCATATTACAGCATTAAATATTTGAGTAGCCTTTTTAGACTTAGAACCATACTAGACCTTCTAAGAGTAGACCTAGCAACTTATGTTGACTAAAACAAATCAAACAACCAAGAGATTTGCAAGGAATCTTCTGTATTTTTCATTATTATTTCACTACATGGTTAGCATCTGTGTTTATATTTTACTGTAGCATCAGGACATTTTTTCAATTTTTAATGAGAATCTGTGAAAGCTCTCAACAAAGTGTTAATCCTAAGAACATACAATCAAATTCTGGAGATTTCCATCTATTGCCATGTAAAGTATGAATATATTTGTACATACACAAGAAATTAGTAGGAGATAGGTTCCTGACAGATTCTCTGACCTTTTCTGGGTGGAAAGTGTGGAGGCACATAATGGAAACTTGACATTTTAGATGGTTCAACATGAATCGCACAGGGAGCATGTATAATAAAGATCTGAGTCAAGGTCTGGATCTGCACATTCATGTACTCATTCTCTTTGACACAAATGATAGGCTCCATTACAAAAGGTTTATTGTTGTAGGCTAACCTGGCACCATCCTGTGTAATTTCTCCTATTTCCACTTTTAGAAGATTACAAATCAGAGCTGAGAGAGCAGCTTCCACTGATTGCTGGCTCGGCAGCAGCGGGTGTTGTCTTCATAGTATCTCTGGTGGCTATTTCCATTGTGTGCAGTAGGTGAGTACATTTTTCTGTCTTTATAAGTTTTCTTCACAAAAGTACCATGTCTGGCCATGCACTATATAATATTCACAAATGAAGCAAATGATTTTATAACTTATAGATAATGCTCTACTGTAAAAACAAATCAAACCTGTCACACCCACAGGTGGGTGTGTTGATTTATACTTTAGAATATTAGGTAGGTTTATTTAATTAGGCATCCCATTCTGTCTGCAATTTGCTTATTTAGGATCTGTGTGACTACCATTTGTTGAGTTATTGTCTCTATGGGTAATGTTCTGCTTGTCATTCTACTAACTGAGGTCACATTCAGATCTGAATAAGAGCTGAAATCCAGGTAAGCAGCATAATAAACAATTGAAATGCATGTGAAGTGGTCAGCCAGTCTTATGATGACAGCATCCTTGCCAGCCAACAAGACCCAGTTGGCCGGCAGGGATGCTGTCATCATAAGACTGGGAGCTGTTCAGTGTTATTGGACAGGTTAAGGGTTACGTGTCGTGGAGGGTTTTTGGTTTTTGGTTTTACGTGTTAGGGAACACTTTAGTGTATGGAATACTTTGTTTTCTTCCAATTAGGGAAGCTGCAGAATTTTTGTTTTTCACTGCACCAAACCCTACCATCAAATATATAAATGTTTTAAAGCTAACAAAAGCTAAAATGTTCAAGTTTTTTATATTCATACTTGTCATTCATTGGAAACCTTTCATCTGTAGGAACAGAAGAGAATAGGCCAGCTTCTCATCATAATACTTGGCAAGCACCTAAAAGGGAACAGTCTAAAATAATAAGTCCCTCAAGCTCTGTTTGTATCTAAATGTCATGTAATATAAACCAGTGATCATTTTAGAAAAAAATATAATTTCTTTCAATGGAAAAATTTTTTGTGTCCCAATGCAGGTATTTGAATCTTGGTCGCTGTGAGCGGTCATCTCTTGTTCCTCAGCATGCCTAAATGACAGAAAAAATAACTGAGCAACCCCAATGCCGTAGGCGTTTTGTGTGTTCTGTGTAAGCTGTGATGCAGGGTATTGAGGAGGAGGGAGGCACATCATTTACTAGGGGACCAAGTCTGGACTGCATTGAGCTTGTCCCTTACTGCAAAGGATATTTTAAATGGTTTTGTCAGCTCATTGAAACTAGGATTATTCTGAACAGATTGTACTCTCTATATGGTAACAAGGCAATAAATATAAATATCTACAAATATCATATACTTCTGCAAAGCCAGGCCTGTAATCTTTTTCTCATAGTCATATCCTATTCCACAAAAAGCCTCTTCCATTTTCTTTCCATTTTTGGGCTGTTGGCACTTTACTTATAAATGTAGCTTTATGAATATTACAGGAGGCAATAAAATACAACACATTTTTCAATCAGTGCTTTCCGACAATGCGGGGTCATTGTGTATTCTTCCTATGGCGCTAGCCCTCAATGTTTTCTCATGGCCATAACCATACAGGTCACTAGGTGCTCTGGAATCTGACAATCATCACATGTGAAACTTTTCTTTGGGAAATTAGATGTCCTTTGGAACAATTTAATAATTTGCAGCAAACAGGTAAAGCAGATATTGTTATTGCATGATGTCTGCCCTATACTATTTCTACTGATATCTATTGTCTTTTCCCCACCTAGTTATCCATAAAGCATTTATCCTCTTAACTTGTATAAGACAAAAGACCATCTATGACTCTGCACCAACATTTTTCAAGTTTAGTTTTGTTATATATTCCAGGAAAAGGACTTACAGTAAAGAAGCAGTGTACAGTGATAAACTACAGCACTATAGCACTGGCAGAGGTAAGGTTTACTATTCCAAGACAGATCAACCAGACTTTAGATGTATGATCATTAATATTATTGTTGTTTTTATTAATATTATCATTACTATTACCTATACTGCTATGGTCGTTGGTTTTTATAAGACTTTGTTGGTCCTTTTATATAGTGAAGGCAGGCACTGCAAAAATTGGGCTTCCAAAATAGAAGTTTTAGTTAATAATGAACTATAGGACTACTATACATCACTTTGTATGCATATTCAGCTACTTGTTGATATATGTTAAAGTGACGCTGGTTAAAAAAAAAAAATGATTCAAGTATGTATTCCAAATCTCAAAATTCCTTTTTTATTGCTGTGCCCTAACTTTCTGTTAGAGGGTGGCTACATTCATTATATATACAGTAGACCCACTGTATGTAGGAATGTAGTCACCCTTTCTTCCTCGTTCCCGAGATGGACTATGGGATGTGCACATTACTACAACTAAGGTCCACTGCTTGTTCCAAACAAATAGAAGTGAGGAGGAAAAGTAGTAGTATTTTTGGGAGCTCACGGATGATGTTACAAGGAGGACACAGTAGGAAACAATCTCATGAAAAACAGAACTATTAAGTAGTGGATGTGCATGGATTAATATTTGGACCCTTTCGTGACCAGATTTTTTTGAGTTTAGATGCCCAGGCAAGTTTAGCAGTGTCAGTATGTATCAGGAAACTTGACAGCAACTTTATAACTCATTTTTTTAATTCACAGCAGATCTGAGAACTAGGAACACAAACACAGGTGCACATTTCTAGCTCTCACGGCAAGGTGAATTTAACATTTTGATTCACAGGGGTTGATTTACTAAAGGCAGATATACTGTGCTCTGAAAGTTCAGTTACTCCAGAGCTTAGTAAATGAGCTAAAGCTTCACTTTGCAAAGAATACCCAAGGAAAGTAAACAAAATGAATTTTTGGTTGTACATGATTGTATTCTAGAAATCAGAAGAGCTTCCCCTCATTTCAGAGCTTCCCCTCAGATTTAGAGCAACTGTAATTGCAGTGCACCGACCATTTGTGTTTAGTAAATCAGCCCAATAGAGTCACCTTTTTGCTTACTGATGAAGATCTAGGCCCCTTTCACATGGAGCGGACTCTGTTTAGATCAGCAGGGGATCTGTCTGCTGCTCCCCTACTTATGAGAGCATAGTGGGCAGATGACAGGTCAGTGTCTGCTCAGTTTATGCAGTGTTGACACGGACAAAGCCGCTCTGCTGTATGGGTGGCCAGGACTAATTGAAATCTGCTGTCTCCCCGATCTGATCCAATCCACCTAAACAGAGGGTGGCAGATTCCCTTCCATTTTTAAGCGTACCAGGTCAGATTGGTGGTAGGTGGGTGTAAACGGGTGAATTGAGGGTCCGATCAGGTCTGCCTGAAACTGACAGGTGGACCTTCTCAAACCCTTTGTGTGAAAGGGGCCCTTTGTATAATGAGAAAAATGATACTAAAGATCAGTTTATAAATTTGGATTATTTATAATTGAATGTAAATTAAATCTGGCATTCATCATTTCCTATAATGCAACTTTTTTAAAATTTTATTTGGATTTTTTTTTTCCAGTAAAAAGGTTTTGTATTTTTCCCCACAAAGAATAGAACAATAATGCCTTTATATAATGTCATTTCCCATTGTGTTTTCTTGGTGTGTTATACTATGTTGTCTTTGTTACCTGCCTCCCCTTCCCCACTTTCCTGTTTCTTGTGTTATCAGGTCAGGCTCCTATTGCACATCACTCAGAGACTGCAGCTGCCAGCTCTCGCCTGTACTATGGTCTCCAATCACAGGCACTTGTCACATGTGATGAATCTTGATTTCTTGCTAGAGTTGTCCCTTCATTTATCTGCTAATAGGTTTCTTATGACAAAGTAAATAATAGCCAGGCTGCAGGTTTCAGCCTGCACCACACTGCTTGTCCCCAATCTGTCAGTCTTAGTGTTGAGCATGGCCCACATTCTTACACTAGACTGGCTAAGGAGCATACTGTTACATGAGAAAAGCTAACAGGATGTGGGCTGGTAAGCAGCATTTTTGCCTTCAAATCTTGTCCTAAATATTTTTTGTGCTTGTACTTTAGAAAATTACTTTTGTCATTGAAACGTCGACAACAGTAAAACACCAGTCTCTCACTGTGAAAACGACATCAATATTATATACCGGAATATATGTATACAGAAACCGAGACGCCCTTAAAGTTGGTGTAGCTAAACCCAAAAACAAAAAAAAAATGTAATATATTTCAGCGTACCAACCCATAGATCTGGGGCCTGCATTAGTTTTCTTTTTTCAGGATTTGTTTTTCTTTATTTTCACCTGGTGATGCTGCTAATAACACACTTCCTGTCACCTCTATGGTGGAAGCCTACTAGGATGGACTTACAACCATGAAAGAAAGATACAATTGTTTTATGCTTCCAGGTCCGCTCACAGGAAGTGACAAGACTACTGCATTTTTGGCAAGATCCACAGGTATATTTTCTATACTTACTTTACCTGTTCCAGTACATGTACTGTGGGCGGGCGGCACAGGCGGGTAAGCGACAAACCTGTCCAGACACAGCAGATTGCAGATCCCAGTAACCGGCCGCTTGTCACGTGATTACAATGTCAACATAACTGTTATGAAACTCATTCATAATAGTTGTGCTTAGTATTGTGATGCTGTGATCGATCCACAGCTATCACATGGTACCAATCACAGCACCCCGTATGTATCATGTGATCACAATGGTTAAAATAGTCTAATCTGAAAAAAGTAAAACTAATGCAGCCACCACATTTAAGAACTGGTAAGCTATAATATACTACATTTTTGTTATTGGGTTTAGTTATGCTTTAATCTTGTCTTTATTTCTGCTTGGAGTTTAGCTTCAAGCGGTATTTTCATTGAAGGTTAAGGCTAGGTTCACACTAGCCAATACTCTGAAAAGTGGTCCATGGTGGATCACTTTTTAGAGTGTGGCTAAGAAGCCTCTGTCAGGCATTTTGGAGGCATTTTATAATGGAGCAAATGTGCCACAGCCACCAGCCAAGTGATTTCCTTGCAGTTGTGGCGCTGCCCCATGGCCAAGTTTGATAGTTGATGCTGCCTTTCAATTTAGCATGACTCATTAAATTGTAAACAGCCTCCTGCGACTCAATTTTATTTTTTAGGTGGGTGGCTGGGGGGCCTATCTTTATTACCTGCTGGTAACCCATGTGAAAGAGGCCTTATAGTTTAAAATTGTGACTGCCATTTTACATATAAACAGTTTTAATGGAATTATCCTTTAATGAAATACTTAATTTTTAAGCATATTTTGCACAATCCTGTTCTCCAACCTTCAACATTTTGGTGATCATTTTGCATCATCCTTCATTTCTTAGCATCACAGGCCAATTTTACCCTGACTTTTTCATGAGCACTTCCATCATGCATCATTTTATGGAAGATGTCATGAAGACTAATTCAATCATACTACTCATGCAATGTTAGGGAGACCGGCGATGTGTTTGGTATAGTTTATAGACCAAAGATGAATCAGTAGTAAGGGGTTAATGGAAAATTTGCTGCTACTAGCCCTCTTGGCGGTAAGCATTTATTGCTGACAAAAGAGTGCAGAGATATATTTAAACATAAAAAAGAAATAATTGTCCTTGTGAAAATTATCTTTTGATTATGCATATTTCCATAAACATGCTGAAAGGTGGCATTATGAAAATAATAAAGATTTTGCATTATGTAAAGGTTCTTTCAGGCAGGAGAATTAAGTCGCCAGCCTTTTTTAGTGTGCCATTTGGGCAAATAAATGCATCTCTTATTGCCCAATTTGTTTACAGCAGGCCTTTTAGCTGGAGAGAAGTGCCAGAAATTATGTCTGTCCTTTCTCCAGAAAGCTTCTTGGCTACAGTCAGGGTGAAAATTAATTAACCCGCTAAGATCAGAAAGATTAACCTCCTTTGCAATGTGTTGCTGTCATCTTGGGCTGTGAAAGAACAAATGATCGAGCTGATACGCAAATGCCAATGACTTCCTGGAAGCAGAACAGAGAACTCCAAATTGAATTTTTTTTTTCACAAAGTGCATATTATCGACAATACTGAACAGAGAACCTGGGACACAAGGAACAAACCTTCCTTTACCCCAGGACACAGTGATGAAGTAGGAGGATAATGGAATGATGATTTCATTATAAAATGCAGATAAAGCCAGAATGGAGGATTGGTGAGTGATGAGGGATGAGAGAAAGGAACCAAGATTCCTGTAAGGAGAGAGGGAAGAGGAGCAGGAGGGGCCGAGAAGCGTTGAGAGGTGAGTAAGGGTAGGAGGGGTAGAGACTGATGGCTGGATAGATATACGGGACTCGCAAGGTAAGATAAACTGGTGGTGGGGGGAGAGAGAAGATCTAGTGTCACAGCAATATCAAATCTTCATTTCCTCACATGCCGGACAAAGACTGGAGAAGATTTAATCATGTCCTCTGAAAGATTGTCAGATCCACAGAAATCATTTTTTTATAGATGAGATAGGAAGAAGAACCTGCACAATCAGAGCTCCTGTAAAAATAAGAAATATTTGCTGCAATGGAGCTGAAGATGTGATAGCATTGACATATACCAAAAAATTATATGTGTGTGCACAACCTTTTTTTTTTACTATATGTCAGGAATTGGACACCTAACATAAAACATTTGTGTGCATGCTACTGATCTTTATCTGAATTTCTGTGAGTTTTTTATTTGCAATTGTATATACAGTGTGTGTATATATATATATATACTGTACAGTATATATATCAATGGAAAACAATATGTATGCACAATAAAACAAATCCCTTGCACCCCTTTGACGCTAACAAAGTGGATCTGTATTTTAACAATTTCATAAAAACAAATTGCATACATTTCCAAACATCACTTGTGTAATACACACACCAAGATCAAAGTGCCTCTGAAAGTGTGTTGTTATCCAGAAAAATATTGAGGCTGAAAGATATAGTAGCAACTAAAATGAAAGTTTGCTTACCTAAACCTTATCCTCATATCTCCCTAAAATTAACCTTACACTGGGCTATGGACATTCAAGTATATACATATTCTTAACATACCCTTCCTGATCTCTTTAGCTGCAGACATTGTGGAGTAACTCATGCTCAATTTTCACAACCGAAACTCTGAAAGTTTGTAGTTGGTTTCTGAACAGCTTACATGCCTGCATTGTGTTTACATTTGAAGGGTGGTAGACTGCTAAGTCACTGTCGCCAGAGAAAGCAAGGGTAGATGAGTTGAGCTGCTATAAACTTTGAGAATGAGTTACTTCAATTGGCCTCATACATGTAAAATCTCTGATGCTTTCTGGTCCTTGGGGAGCTGAACTTGCCACACACAACTGCCAATACAAGTGAATGTCTGTATGTAATGGCTCGACACTTACCCAAATACAGCTATTGTCACTGAACATGGATGGACAGATAAACTTTGATGCTGAAGTCATCAATGTTTACCCAATCATTTCCATGTACAGCCATTAATTTGTATTGGCAGCTGTATGTGGAATGTGTGACTTCCCAAGAACCAGAAACCACTATAGATTTCACACCTCAGCACACAAGAGCTAATAACAGTCCCTGTAAATGAGGCCTTTGAGCTTTAGAGGTTAGTGAGGGCGTGTTATGAAGCCGGTTTGTATAAATTTACATATGTAAATACCTATATGCTCATAGTCTGGCTAGAGGTTCACTTTAATAAAAAAAATCTTACCAGCCATGGCTTTTCCCTTTTTTCCAGGAAGAAAATGGTCTTACTTTACCAGTCAATGCAGCCATTCATGTACTTGCTGTAACACTCTTACTAATTTGGGTCATTCATGGCAGAGTCCATCCAGCACACCAAATTCTGGTATAATGTTGATGTATGAACAATGATTCATGTGCACAGGAACAGTTACATATTACTTCTGTGCATGGTAAGGTTTCCAGTATCTTCTGGCTATAGATGGAGTCATCAGAAGTCTACACAACTACATGAATGCTGTACAAAAACACGACAGATCCCCTTCAGAGTCAACAGTAATCATCTTAGCTTAGGACCAATCCAGCCTAAGAGATCTTGGCAGGAAGCCACTGATGCTGTATAATTTATGTTTCCAACTGTGGCAGTTCTTCTATGTAGCAGATAGTGATATCAAACACAAGACCCGAGAAATTCTTACTAAAGAGCATCTACCTAACTTATCTGTGTTCTTTTGTTTTCAGGCTCTCCAGGAATGAAAATTTACATCGACCCCTTCACATATGAAGATCCCAACGAAGCTGTGAGGGAATTTGCCAAGGAGATTGATGTCTCTTTTGTGAAGATTGAAGAAGTTATTGGGGCAGGTGGGCATTAACTTTTCCACAAACATTCAAGAGCAATTCTACAATTCTTGCTGACTATGTCAACACAATGTGTGCAGACAAACCCGAACTGCTTGTAATAGCAGAAATGTTTACTAACATTTCGAGTACATCAAGGAAAATATATGGACAGAGCATCCTCGTCTGCACTGAACTCATATGTGCGCCATGAAGTAGGGTCTTCATCTTGTCTGATGTCTCAAGTTTTTTAAAATTACTTCTACAGGGATCATGCACACAGCGATGAAAAACACAGTTCTTTTGTTTTTTTTTTACTCTTTTGAACACAGGTGTATAGTCTTCTATGGACCAATGCACATAGCGGCTTAAGACCAGTAAATGTGTGCTGTATTCTTTCAAAAGTTTCTTGTATCCTTGAGAATTCACCTGTATCCTAGCAACGAAAGGATGCTAGGCGGCTTTCTTGTGTACTAGCAACAGGGCCATTTATGCTGTACGCCTGTAAATGTAGCTCAAATATCGTATGCATACAATGCACAGATCACTTTTTAATTTGAGATCTTACTGCCACCTTCTGCCAGCAAGATCCTAGATTCTAGTAACTGTGTTTTTTATGATCGTATTCATGTACCCATAAATTGCTTCATTAACTGTTTTACAAGTTAACCTTTTTTTAATTTGAATTTAGTGGTTGTTGCTTTGTAGATGGAACATACTAGGCTGTCTACTAAGAAAGCCCACACTTCCTTTCCTGTGTTGACTACCTAGGTCTAACCAAAACTCCATACAGGTCCATATCTCCTAGGAGTGAGGAGATATGACTCATTCAGTTGCAAATGTGTAATTTCATGTCCTGGTATTAAATCTTTCCACAGAATAGACTATTCAGGCTATACACAGCATAGTAATGAGTTAATCTGGGAAGAGCTGCAAAGTTGCCTCAAACACACTGTCAGCTGGCGGCAATGGGAAAAAGGTATAAACAGAAATGCTTTTTTCTGTATTGTGGGAGAAGGCTAGAACCAATATTTTCCTCTTGTAAGCTTTCCTTCACTTCCTGTCTGGTGAAACTATAGTCTCTCTGACAGTGAGAGTCCCAGATAACAGAAAAGCCTAATTCCCCCCCCCCAATAAAATTTTGGATTTACATATTTAAAGGAATATGTTTGCACATACTGTAGGTACTTTCTTTACAAATGGGAGTGCTCTGAATGATTAAATAAAAATATACTGTTAGTATTAGTGGAAGAGCATAAAATATAAATAAAGTGGAATTCATTGACAGCTTGTGGGATCGGTATGAAATATGAAGTAGGATGCCAGAGATCAGAAGGAATTTTTAGTTACCCTTCTGATCTTTGGCATCCTCTTGATCATAGATATCTCCTGTACATCAGTGCTTAATGACATGCTTGTTTCTGGCCTTCAGGAGAGTTTGGGGAGGTGTACAAGGGCCGCCTGAAGCTCCCTGGGAAAAGGGAAATCTATGTTGCTATCAAAACCCTTAAAGCTGGATATTCTGAAAAGCAAAGAAGGGATTTCCTAAGTGAAGCAAGCATTATGGGTCAGTTTGATCATCCCAACATCATCCGACTGGAAGGTGTGGTGACCAAGAGCCGACCTGTGATGATCATTACTGAGTTCATGGAAAATGGTGCACTGGACTCTTTCCTACGGGTAAGCCACTCTTCACTGTTTTGTCATATATTCCAAACTTCTTAATAACAGAATTCCTTTAATTTAACTCCTGTGATGTGAAATCTCATTAGTTACTGTAGGTTAGTGTGCTGTATAGCCTAGCATTAGAGTCTTGTGGGCAAGACTTACAAAAGTCTCAGTTTTAGACTGTAAAAGGTTGAGATGTTATGCATTAATACTGCTGACATCAGTTCTTCTACTTTGTGTGGATAGCCTTGAATCAACACACAACAGAACCTTATAATTTTTGTTAATAATACCAGTTAATAATACCATGTTACATGGGTACCTATTCCTTAGCCCACCAACACTTGCTTGGAAGGCATAGGGATTTTTAAGACATGGAAGAGCTTTCTCAACTCTGAAGATTAATGAATTATACCTGAATGCATGTGCTACTTCAGGTTTCACAGGGTTGGTCAGGCCATTTTGGAGCTTCTTTTTAATAATGGTTAATGGTTGATGTCCCTACTCTGAGATGAGGTATTGCCTAGACCTAAAAGGCTAAAATAATACCTTGCGTAGGCAAACCCATAAGCCTCTACAGTAAAAAAGCACACAGAAAGCATACATTTTATCAACATTTTCTACAATAGGTGCAAAACACAAATATATGCAGAGATATGTTTGATTTCATTACACTTGACAAGCTACTTAATTTTTTTAATGGTATGCATAGGATTTTTTGCATGTCCTAAACAACCTCTTTATTTTTGCAGACACGTATGTTATCACTTTCTTAGTTGGAAATTAGAGGGGTCGTGCATTAGAATACTTGTTTCCTTTAATAAAAGGTTCTGCTCAGACACACAGGAATGCGTATATACATAGTGAGCATTCTTGTCCTATATTGATTAATTTGTCTGGAGACACTGAAGTGTGATTGTGAAGATTAAGTACCAGCCAAATGCTGGCTGCAGATGACCTAAAAAAATCTAATTTCAGCCTCCAGATAAAAATAGGGACATTAATTGGAGCCTTGGTTCCTCCTGAAAGTAGGTTATAGGATCCAGTCCTCAGGGGCTTCCTGTGTCTTAGAAGGAGCATAATATGGAGTAGAGCAGAGCCTGGATAGCAGTGCACCTGTACAGAATACATAGGAACCTGTATGTGCCAGGGGAGTCTCTCAAATGTATCACCTGCTCTCTACTCACTTGTGTTTCTGTCAGGACTTTCTGTTTATGTCATGTTTTTCCTCGAAGCAAAGGATATTTTTTCCCATTACATTCTAAAGAGATTCTGCTGCCAGAATATTCCTGTCTATTGGAGTAAGTGTGAAAGGACACAATGAACATATTACAATGTGGTTGCTTAGCTGTTAGCACTCAGGCCTAGCTGCACTGGGGCTTGGCTTCAGTTACCTCTCAGTGAGCCTCTCTTAATGAAATTTATAAATCTATGGATTCTGTCTAAATTTTTATTCTATTTAAATTGAATTTGTATGTATGCCCACCCCCATCATTTCTATACATTTTGTCTAAATGGAATTTGTATGTATGTCCACCCCCATCTTTCAATCTGTGCTCTAATTCTAAACCTTAATTAGAACATACATGCCAAGGCCAATCCTTCTTTGTGCAGTTGGTATTCACAATGGCACAAATTGATATATACTGTATCATACTCCTTTCAAGCTATTTTGTTATGGTTTTGAATTCATATAGTTATGGTAACTGTATGGTCACTCTGACACCACGTGGCATTTACAGTCACTGCAGTAAAGTGGATTCCTGAAACCATCCTGGAATTGGTGTATTACTGAGGAAGGCACCAGGAGATTGGTTATCCCTCTTTGAGATGTGGGATAGTGTCAATGGTGGACTTATAGCAAAGCTTGCCACATTGGAAGCTAATCTAACATCCTAGACTGTTCGGAAAAGAGCAGTACATTTCCTACTAACCTACTTCACAAATGATCACACTTTAATAGGCCTGACAACTGGCCATTCAAACTGCCTATCCCCGGACAACATAGAAAGTATCTGCAGCCGAATGAATTATGAATGCATCTGCCCAGCACTTAGGTTACATGACTACTTTAGGCATGTATATGTGGCACAAATAGGCCACATGTCCTATCTTAGGCCACTTATCTTTTCTGTGTATGCTCGGTTTAAAGAAATGTAGCAGTAGGTGTCTGGATGTGGCTGATTTGCACTAGTAGGCAGAGATGCAGCAAAATTGCAAGGCATTCTGTTTAAAAAATATTTTAGTGCTGTTCTGAAAAAATATTAACTTGAAAATGGTACATTGTTACTTGAGGCACATTTACACATGTGGGCAGGGCTGACTCGCTCTTACACAAGGGGGTACCTTTCCTCATGTATGTGCTCACTAATGCCCGGGACCAGGCGTTCATGTTAACTCAGCATTAAGGCGGCAGCATGTCCTTAGAAGTGAACCATACACCTTATGCAACTGTGTAACAAGCCTGAGGCTCCATACTGTGAAACACTTTGTCCCATGATGCTGCCTCCTTTTTCCTTTGGAATGTAGCATTTAGAGGGGGACATCGCTGAGTCCAACTTTCCTGTCACCTCACTCCCATGAATAGAGCATGGCTCCCGCCATGTTACGAGCTGTTGCCTGCTACATCCACAACTTCACTCTGTTAACTCCTCCTGTAGGTCCATGAGGTCTCCACTTCCAGTGCTTCAGGGCACTGACCGCTAGGGAGGGAATCGGAGAGCTGATCCCTTCGCTAAACAGAACTCATCACCCATGTTGGTACTACTCTTCTGTTGTCTGGCTGCCAAATCACTTCCCTAGTACTGGTTGCCTTTGGTAACTACAGGTCTTCCTCTTCACACCCGTGTGCATGTGACTGGCCCTGTTCTTTTTTATATGCCATATACCACCATGCACCCCTTTGCATTAACTTCAGACCAGGCCAAAAACAGGTAAAGAATTTTTACTGAATGTGCCCAAAGTACAGTCCAGCAACACATCATTAATGGCAAAGTTTGTCCCTAACTGTCTACCACAGGTTGCCCAGTGAATACCTTCTCCAAAGTCAATGTCCATAGAGTTCGTGGACTGGCATTGTCCTGGCTCTAGGTGTAGTTCCCTTTTAGGAGAGCGCTGTAGGTTGGTGTGGGCTACATCGCTCCTTTAGACTATAGTCACACTTCCCATCCAGACCACAGCCAAGCATCCGTGAGCAGAGTCACCCCCCTTTTTATAATGCAGGGTGGAGGCTAGAGCCAAAAATGCCTGGGAAAGTATTGTGAAGAGTTTAACTCTTTCCTAGCTGGGCAGCATGAAGAATTATCTAACTTAATATATGTAACCATGGACTCAACCAGAACAACTTGTAAACACCTGCTTACACACAGCTATCACTCTTCTTTTGACAGAGGACAGAGCTAAATACACAGATAAAATACATATAAGAGCTGTTTTACCTGCCAAAGGATTTATATTTCTGTTCATCCAGTCCTCTGCAACACCACCCAGCCCTGTCTAGCATGGAAGGAGACCTGATTTTTCTGTGCTGTAGTTTAGTAACACTTTGAGGTCTTGCCCCTTCCCCAGCCTGTGAGTGGTAGTGAAAAAAGAAGCAGAAGACCTATGAGCGTGTTTCTCTGTCACTCTCTCTCCTTCTATCAGCATGTTCCTTGCAGTGCAGCACAACTGATTGTCTCTTTCCACGGTTTTTCACTCCTCCAGTCTGAGCTCTGCTGTACAGGGGATAGCAAATGGCCAATAGCAAGTCACATTCAGGTACTTACACTTCTTGCATTCAAAAATACATTTATGGATGTATTAATAAATACAAGCTGCATTATTTTTTTTTTTAATATCTGCTTGAAGCTAAGCTTTAGTAATTAGAAAAAGAGAATCAAGGGGAAAAAAGCACCGTGCAGAGTTCTTTCTCACATTTTTCTTTGATCTATACATTGAGGCCAGCATGTTTATGCAATACATTCTTGAATATGCTATACCACCCTCTGTTTTCCATCTGTTCTTCCACAAAAACATAGGAGAGCATCAGAGAACAAAGCAGTTGTGTGTCCATGGTCTTACTGAGCTATATAATAAACTTTATTTTGCTAATGATCTGCATTATCACTTACCATTCTGCAACATTCATATTAGTACCCACCTTCTCCTGGCTCTCCCTCGTGTCTCCCAGTGAACAGAGTGAGCGTGGCTTATTACAATTTGCGCACAGCAGTATTATAGCAGCTTCTGTGAGCTTAGCCTGTTTTATTAGCTGAATGTACGGAATATAAAGTCCTTGGTGTTTTATGGTGCAGAAAGAAAGGTAATACCTGAACAAGGATTTGCAGTCCTGGGTTTACAGAACTTTTCTATAGAGTAGATGAAGTTGTTTTATTCAGAATAAATATAATTATACTGTTCTAGAAAAGATTTTTGTATTTTATTAACAAACAAGGTTGGGTTGTACATTTAATTGAAATTATTCAAAGTAAAAGTTTAACTCTTTTTAATCTTGTTTAGCAAAATGACGGGCAGTTTACAGTGATCCAGCTGGTGGGAATGCTCCGAGGTATTGCAGCTGGCATGAAGTATCTATCGGAAATGAATTATGTTCACAGAGACCTGGCAGCCAGGAATATCCTGGTGAATAGCAACCTGGTGTGCAAGGTGTCTGACTTTGGGCTCTCTCGCTATCTGCAGGATGATACATCAGATCCAACCTACACCAGCTCCTTGGTAAGATGATTGAGGCTTCTAAAGAACATTGAATGTGTTATTTAAAGGGTCAGTCCATCCAAAATGAATACCTCTGACTTTGAGAGATGCTGTAGAGTTAAACCATCCAATGATTTCTTGTAGCTCTTGAGGACTCCATTGACCTGTCTCTTTGATTAAATGCTTAAGATTGAACTCAGAGAATTTAGGCACCTTTTTAGATGTGCCAGATTACTATGGGTTAAGTCCAGTGAGGTGCATACCTCTTTCATTTCCAATGTACATTTTTACTGAGCACTGGGAGTGCCATCGCTATACTTCCAGCACACTGATGCCAAATCTTCTGGTCTCAGCTCCAGCAGCTGCAGAGCCCCATGCAGCCTCTCTGCCCGCCCCTCTCCTCCTCCTGTCCAGTCGCAGAGCACTTTGTATTATGTGAACCTATTCATATATTTCTTTGAATGGCCAGAGGAGGTGAGGGGCAGTGTGAGCAGAGCTGCCACTGTGTAAGAAAGCAGTGTCTCTTCTGTCAGATTTCTGTGAGTAATTGGATAGCTGTAAAACTGTCAGTTGTAGATAAGAGATACGTCATGAGATGGCATACACCTCGCTGGACTTCACCCTTAGTAAGACAGCAAATTTTAGGAAGTGGGTAAGTTCCTGGATTTTAAATTTAAAGTATACATATAGGCAAAACTTTATATAAGGAATTTTTTTTTCAGTTTTTTTGTCCCACCGGCAAGATTTGGCCCCTTTTCTTGTCCCATAGACAACACAACCACAGGAAGCAAAAGAAAAGCTGTAAAAAGTGAGGGGGATCCTCTCCTGGACAGTTAACAAGTGACTGTGTAGAAGACTTCCTGTCTAGATAGCAACTCAAAATGTTTTATTTTTCTTTACTTTCTTCCTGGTGTGTACCTACTTAGTGGGGACATAACAGTAAGAACATGACAGGTGGTTCTAACTTCTCATCACTCAAAAATATTAAAATGTTGTGGTTTTAGACACACTTTTAATAGACGCCATCACCAAATTAAAAACTGCAGTTGAAAGTTTGTAAAAATCAAGCTAGAGCAGCACAGTGTATAAATGGTTAGCACTTCCGCCTGGCAGCACTAGGGTCATTGGTTTGAATCCCAGCCGTGGCACCACCTGCCTGGAGTTTGCATGTTCTCCCTGTGCCTGCATGGGTGTCCTCCCACACTCCAAAGACATGCTGGTAGGTTAATTGGCTCCTGTCTTAAATGGCTCTAGTATGTGTACGTATTAATGTGAGTTAGGGACCTTAGATTGTACGCCCCTTGAGGGTCAGGGACTGATGTGAATGTACAACATATATATAAAGCGCTGCATAAATTGACAGTGCTAATTAAGTACCTCTAATCATTTTAGGTACTTGCTTGCAGTGTTTTTCTTTCCATAAATTACATTTTTATTAATTTGCGGTGTGTCTTTGAACTTCATAGAAAGCTAGACTGATCAAGAAAGGACCAATTCCCTCCTTTTCTGGGAGGGTCTAAATAATTACTCTCTGTGCTGGTTCAACTCCCACCCCCCCATCATCTCTCTGCATAGTCGTTCATGTAGTTGTCGGTGTCAAGGGGGCGGAACACATAGGAATACTGTAGATTATCACTTGAGTGACAGTCCTGAGCCTGATGATTCTGCTGACATCACATCCAACCTTGCAGTGCCAAGCAGCACTCAGGACTTTTCAATGTTTACACAAAAGAAGCTTTTACAGATAAATAACGTACATATATATGTTAAATTCACATGTATTCTTATGGGAAGTGCAGCTCATCACTGACCACATATACCTCTAAATAGGTAGATGACTGCTTTATGACTGACCGCTGAAGAGTGTGAAATGCGTAAAAGGATTTGTACCTCGTATCGTGTATGCCGATTTTGGGATTTAACAAAGATACCAACAGCATAGCTGGTGTGCAATCATCCACCTATTTAGAGGTATATAGGGTTTTTTTAAGGTACAAATTCTACACATCAGTGCAGGAACTCTTCCAGTTGGGAAACATGGCATAATTTGTTTGTGTATGCTTTATTCCACCCAATTAAAAAGCTCCTTCTGCAGCTCAGGTAACAATGCATGCTTCTAATTTTTCTTCCATACTATAGAAGTCAGTACTATTGGCACCATTCTTTGTTGGATTGCTAGTTTTGCTTTTTGAACCCTGAGGTGGTTATTTGTTATCTCTCTGCTTGATGAATTTGTCATCAAGTTCAAACTCCCAAAGTGGGAATAGCTTAGGGCTAAAGCAGGCCATACATGGATCGAAATTCAGCGGATTCAGCAGGGACCGTATAGGCAGGCTGATGGTACCCAAGTTGATCCATCGATTGACTTGAGTACAACCAGTCTGTTGGAATTTTTATATTACGTAGCTGCTAGCAGTAAATATTGTGTTCTGCCTGCTCCCTGCGCCCCCCTGCCAGCAAAAAACAATAGCTCTGTGGGAGGCATTCCCCAATCAACACTGACCATGTTGATGGGGGAATTGAGCGATTTTCTTTCCTTCCACTCATGATGGAAGGAATGAAAATCAAGTCATTTATGACTACCTAAATGTCAGAGACAGTAAGGAGTGTGCAGTAAGTATCATGGGACTATCTGAAACTGCATTACAAACAGGTAACTAAAATGGGTTCCCAGATTGCCATAGTAGCAACAATGGGGATTGGGGTATGCTGGGGTATGCTACAGCTCTGCGTGGAGAAAAACTGAAGCCCTGAGCAGGTAGCTTGTTCCCTGCACCACATTATATGTACACATGAGAAGAAAAACACATTTGTCTGATACTTGTACAGTTCGTGGATGATCTATGGGACAGTATGAAGCCTGTCAAGTGTTTATCTGCTCACAGCTTGGTTTTGCAGTATTTCCGCATACAGAACAATGCCGCACCACAGACAGCGAGCAGCACATGAACGCACTTAGCTCTGGAATCCAGCATACTGTTGATGGAAAATATGACGTCTCCCCATTCTAAATTTCATGGTAGAACTGAAATCTCTTCTTCCTTACTACTTGGAGGGTTAATCTGCAAAACCTTTAATTCAGATAAATAGTCATAAAATACGGGAGCTGGTGCCTTAAACATAAATCTTTGTTAAATAAAAGAACAAAGCCTCACATACCTTCTCTTATACCGGATAATGGCAAATCTCTGCTCAACAAACATAATGGAGATGAAGTGTTTAAATGAAACTGATTTGTCTCTGGGCTCCGCTCACATCTGGTCAGCGTTACAGATCCTCTTGTTGCTCCCCCCCTCCCCCCAACCTTTTACCTTTTTTTTTTTTACTATAATCCCATCTAAATCCCATCCATAATGCATAGCTTATTTCTCAGAAGTGATGAGTGAATAAAGCACTTTTCAGTTTATGTTAGTCAGATGCTTGGGAGAATTCATTGCTGGGTGGATGTGGTGAGGTCCTGAATGAGATGTCTTTATCACACTAGATTAAATACATTTCTTCGAGTCAAGCTTCCCTTTGCCCTTGAAATAAGCAGCAATATTAATAGACTTGCTCAGTGCCGGGAGCTGCCACCTTGAGCTTTGAGATACAGTCCCTCTCGGAAGAAGGAACAGGAATTGTTGAATTCTGCAGCATAATGAACACTCGTTCTGTGCAGCAGTCCACTGTGTCCTTTCCAGTGTTGACATGGGCATTGTTGTAGTGCTGGCTGTGTCTATTATGATGTTAATGCACAAAATGTATATATTGTGAATGGAAGACTATGAAAAAAGACACAAAACCTTGTGATACAATTATGGCGTATAATGATTCTGGATTTCAGTACAGCTGCTAGATAATGAAGGGTGGTTTAGACCGATACATATTTTTTCTTGTAGAAACTGTTTTTCTATTGAGGTTCATGCATACGGGTGCAACATAAAATTGGGGAGGATTTCCCCTGCTCAAGAGCCATAGGTGCTGCCTACAGCTGGCATAGAAATCGATGGCCATGTACTGGTAAATGCCAGTATTTGCATAAACACAGGCATATGTGTACATATGTTGGAAGTTGGACCGTAGAGCCAGACTGTCTGCTTCCAGGGGTGTACATCCATACCCATGTGCATGTTGTATAATCACCAGCGTATACACACATACGCCTATTGATTTCTATAGGTGACCAAACTCAGCACCTATGGCTTCGGATTGGGGAAGTACACCCACATTTTTACATTGAATGTCCCTGGGTACTTGTGTGCATGCAGTCTTAGTGTTTAAGTCATATGTGATAACTTACATAAGTGGTTCTCAAAGACCACTTTAAAGTCCAACTCCACACAATTTTTTTGTTTCAGATAGGATGGGTTAGAACCACTCTGAGGAGTTTATTCCTGCTCTCTGTTAATGGAGTTTAACTTCACTACCTGTCACATTATACACACGGAAAGTGAGAAAAATGTCCCATTGAGATACCAGGGCAACAATAAAATCCTGATGGAGATTTTGACCCATTCTACCTAAAATGCAAAAGGTTCATGTATTGCCCTGTGCCCTCTTTGGAGAGAATTGGCTCATTTCCTGCACTTGTGATCAAAAGAACAAAGGGAAAGTATTCTTAACTTGAGCACAGCAATGAAATCCTGAAAGGTAAGTTAACCCCTTTTCCAGTCTTTATTTTTTTGTTTATTTACAGAGTGTGGAGGAGTTAAACCCTCTGTCAATTATTTTTTTGCCATTTGTGTCCCAGTTTGGGGGATTTAACCTTCTTTTTGTCCTATGACCATTGTCTCCAAGTCAGAAATTTGGGGAAGACCACTAGAGTCACCAGCATTGTCACCAGAGCAAGGGTAAATCTTTCAATGGGACAGATGTCCCAGTGGCAACTGTCTAAGTTGGGAATTCCCTTCACTTTGGGGAGATTTCCTCACATTTACAGTTACTGTCTTTAAGAAGAAAGCACCAGAGGCACAACCAGAAGTAGGAACATATTTTTCCAAAGTGAGGGGAAACAGCACAGTGGCTAAATGGTTCTGCCCGGCAGTACTAGGGTCGTTGGTTCGAATCCCAGCCACGGCACCTCCTGCCTGGAGTTTGCATGCTCTCCCTGTGCCTGTGTGGGTTTCCTCTGGGTACTCCAGTTTCCTCCCATACGCCAAAGACATGCTGGTAGGTTAATTGGATCCTGTCTAAAATTGGCCTTTGTATATGAATGTGAGTTAGGGACCTTAGATTGTATGCCCGTTGAGGGTTAGGGACTGATGTGAATGTACAATATATATGTAAAGTGCTGGGTAAATTGACAGCTCTATGTAAGTACCTGAAATAATAATAATAAATCCTCTTTGAGATGGTTGCTACCAGGAAATTATTTTTTTCCTATGTTCTGGTTGTCATTGATTAGGAAATTTAAAAAAGGTATGGGGGTTGGGGATGGTAGGGGGCACTAACCGCAATAAAAACCTGACTGAAAATTGAACCATTCCCTACTCTGTCCAAAACAAAAAGTTTACATTATAGATAGCTAATGTCTGCCTGATTTGTTTTTCTCAGGGTGGGAAGATCCCAGTGAGATGGACAGCACCAGAAGCTATTGCTTATCGCAAATTCACATCCGCCAGTGATGTCTGGAGTTATGGTATTGTCATGTGGGAAGTGATGTCATTTGGGGAACGGCCGTACTGGGACATGTCCAATCAGGATGTAAGAAAGCAAATATTTCACTTTCTCTATCTACTTGTTATAATTATTGCTACTTTTTATGTATTTTATTTTTAAAAGAGCGATTTTCCTAAACAATAATATGATTATTAATACTAAGAAATGTAATAAATTACCTGTATTTACCAATCGGATTAAAGAAAACATGTTACTAGCAGTGACAGGTTAAAAAAAAAATCACATACCTGAACACTAGGCACCACCTTTGCTGCAGGGTGCCCAATTCTTCATTCTGCCAAGGCCCCAGTGCTTCCCACAGGATGGTTCTCCATAGATTTACACCTTGTTTTCAGGTTTCAAGGGCTCCCAGGAGATCCTGCAGTGGTGTACTTTCCAGCAAGTTATACCAATTAGCATCTGGGGGTTCATTTATTCAGTCAAATACGTTCTTGTTTCAACTTGAATTTAGTTCTACTTTAACAGTTCTAAGGCCCATGCCACACCTGTGATTGTGTCAGTGTTGAAAACGCATCTAACACACCAGAAATACTACATACCTGTTTCCATGTTGATGCTACCTCACTGGCAGGATCAGTGAGATGTGGTTCCCACACTGATAGAAACCCTGAAGAGTTTTCCTCTCTAGATAGAGAGCAATGCCTCACTATTCCAGACACCAAGGGAGCTCAATAGGCATGGAGGCAGCAGCAGGAGTCATTGGTGCTTCTGTTGTCTAACACATCCTATGAAGAGAGTGCGGGGGGCACACAGAGATCAGGTTGGGAGCAAGCCTGCATGAGTGCCCCCCTAGCAAGTGGCTTCTTATGGGGGCACTCAGAAGGGGGGAGGAGCCAGGAATGCCAGCAGGGGACCCCCAGAAGAGGAAGATTGAGGCTGCTCTGTGCAAGACCATTGCACAGAGCAGGTAAGTATGACATGTTTGTTATTTTAAGAAAATACCTTTACAATCAGTTTAGGCTTAGTTAGCTCTAGCCTGATATTTTGCTTTAATTTAGAAACCTAAAACACTAAGAATAGGTATTCTTATTTTCAGAAGAGTCCAATGAGATAAGAATTAAAAAAAAATTGCAAGCAGGCAGGCTTATAGCAAGTCTCAGCAATGACTTTACCTTGACATATTTTGGTGCCAGAAATATTGAACTCCCAAAGACTCTGCACCTGGAAGAAACCAGGGAGAAAATGTCATCACCAGCTAGGGAGCTCGCACAGATCGCATTGCTGGAGTGGAGGTGAGTATGTGTGGACTTTATTTCCACTTTAACAAAGATCTCTATTGCGGTGTAAGGCATTGTGATTGAAGCTATAACATGCCATCATGTGCCTTTAACACCACCACTGGAGACCACGATGTTTTCGGTTTGTAACCAATTGAAATGTGCAGCAGTTACATGTCCTGCTTGGTTGTCCAGAATTCTATAATGTCTGTTATGCGTACAGTGTACTGGATAGTCCTCAGACAGAAAAGTGCCTAACAACCAGCCTTCCATTACATTTATATTTGCAAGATAGCAGATGTAGCGGCTTCCAACAGCTTAAAATATAGGTAGAGGCTCTGAGATTTTCCTGCATTCCATATGTCCAAAAAGGTGCATACATGTAAAACTACTGTGTTTATGAAATGTGCAGCACAGTGGCTAAACGGTTAGCACTTCCACCTGCCAGTACTAGGGTCATTGGTTCGAATCCCAACCACGGCACCACCTGCCTGGAGTTTGCATGTTCTCCCTGTGCCTGCATGAGTTTTTTTCCGGGCACTCTGGGTTTTCTCCCACAACAACATGCTGGTAGGTAAATTGGCTCTAGTATGTGTATGTATGAATGTGAGTTAGGGACCTTTGATTGTACGCCCCTTGAGGGTTAGGGACTGATGTGAATGTACAATATATATGTAAAGCGCTGTTTAAATTGACAGCTCTATATAAGTACCAGAAATAAATAAACGTTTATACTGTATTTGTTGGTGAAATATGTTGGGGTCACATCTAGTCAATGTGGCCAAGTGGATTTGGTGGGACTTATGGTTGCACAGCGACAGGAGGGACAGTATGGTAACATTGTGAGACTTGTGGTTCTACAGAGACAAGATACACGCTGTCCAATCACACACAACTTTGGGGATTTGGCAGTTTGCTTCCATGGCCCTGGAACAAACACTTACTTGCCACTTTCCGCTACGTTCCATTCACACATACACACTAAGGCTGCTGATCACAACATCCAGGTATATGAGGATCATTCTTACCAGTCTGGTCCTAACACACAGATAGTGGCTGACACCAAGCACACCGTGTCTACTAAACAGAGAGCAGGGGAAGTTGTACTTTCTCAGCATTCTGTTGAAATACTGCACAAATCAAAGCATGAGAGAGCGAGAGGGAGGGCTGGCGGGTGGGTGAGCACTGAAAACTACTGCTGTGTCAGATGGATCAGGCTGAAAAAGAAGAAAAGAATCCACATAAAGCAAGAAAATTGGAAAGTGCAGCCAGTGCACTGGGAAGTAATTGGACTTGAAGAAGCTTTGAACATGTCAGGCTGGTGGAGATGCTCAGCTCTTACAGTAATGCAGTGAGCGGCGGATATAATGAAGGCGAGAGCAGAACAATGCTCTGAACAGTGTGTGCCTTTGATTAACCTGCTGCAGCCTCGGCTCTCTGACTGCCCTCACTCTCCAAACCACTGTAATCACACAGGAGGGGAGAGGGAGACTGTCGTGCTACGGAGCAATTAAACCAAAGGTGGTCGGTGGCGAAGAACTAGACTACACTGCGACCTTGGTACAGCGTGCTAGACAAAAGCCCCTTCAGGACTACAAGTGGTATTATAAATATCCTACAGCACATTTAAGAGGCCACTAAATGTATATTGCAAGGCAATTTATGTAAATGATTTTTGATAAAAGCGATGTAAATGTTTCAGGATCTGAAAGTAGAACTACAGCTAAAAAAATCTTTTTCATTTTGGATGTATTAAGGCAGGTACAGAACCTGTCTGACATTGTGGCATTGAGATCTACTCCCACCAATGGCATAGCTGTTTGCCCAGGGGTGGACTGACTATTTGGAAACTCGGGCACTGCCCGAGGGCCCGGGGTCAGTAGCGGGCCCCATGAGATGCCCCTGGTACCTTTTTTCATAGCCTTTTTTGAGTTTGGGCAAGGACACAGGGGCCCCATGATCCTCTATTGCCCGGGGGCCCCATGAGTTGTCAGTTTGCCCCTGTGTGTGCCCTTCACATCTGGGCTTCAGATGTAACCATTCAAGGAGACACCACTTCAGGGTGTGTGGGGTGGACATAATACACAAGGCAGCAGCCTATAAATGGATGCTACTTGTAATACATCTGGCAAAGGGTAGAGAACACAATGATACCCTTACACTATTTTCAAAAAACTTAGTAGTAGTACTCTATGAGCAAGGATTTCACATTTCTAGAAAGACATGTAGAGACTCATGACATGTACTTGTGATGATGCCATTATACTTCTGACAATTACATCAACACTGTACCAGGGCACTGCCATGATGTCATTACATCCCATCCAAAACTACATCAACACTGTACACAAGGTACTCTGCCATGATGTCATTAATTCTCACCCACAATTACAACAAACACTGTACCAGGGCATTGCCGTAATGTCTGTTTAACACACCCATAGTTACATTAACACTGTACCATGCCATTGCCATGATGTCATTACACCTCACTCACATATACATTAAAATTGTACCATGACAGTCTATGTCCTTATCGAGGAGATTTTATTGCAGTTACTGTCCACAGAGACACAATCGGAAGTCATTGAAAATCTCCCCAAAATGACAGGATGCCCCTGTTACATAGGGGGTGCAGCCATAAATGGAAACCACTTGTAATACATCTGGCAAGGGGTGGGGACAGATTGGCCCTATTGAATTGGTTTTTAAAAAGCCTACTAGTGTTTCATGCTATATGCAAGGATCTATTTAATAGAAGGACATGCAAAGAGGTTCATGATATGAACATGTGATGATGTCAGTATACATCAAATTACACTGTATCAAGGCACTGCCATGATCTCATTTTACTTCACCCACAGTTACATCCATGCTGCACCACACCCTTGCCATGATGTAATTACAACTCACCCACAATTACATCAAAACTGTACTATGGCATTGCCAGAATATCATTGCGCTTCAAGTACTATAATTATTATTTATTATTATACAGGATTTATATAGCGCCAACAGTTTGCTCAGCTCTTTACAATATAAAGGGAGACCATATAGCAATGATACAGTTCAATATAAGAGGGTTAGGAGGGCACTGCTCCTTGGAGCTTACAATCAAAGAGTACAATGGCATCAACAATGCACCAGATCCTTATCATGCTGTTTTTGCACCTTACCCACATTTACAGTAAAAATGTACCACAACATTGCCATGATGTCGCTAAGTCTTACCCACAATCAACACTGAACCAGGAAACCAACATTTTATAATGTATAGTTAAAAGTGTAACTCCAGCCTAAACCTTTTCTAGTGAAGAACTAAAACCTCCAGGTTTTAGTCGCAACGGAAAGTAAATGGGAAGCTACCAAATTCCATCTCTGATAGCCGTCAGTGGAACAAGTGTCCTCAATTAAAGAGGGTAACCATAAAATGTTGGATTTTCTCCTTATTTTCTCTTTCCTGTAACAATGGCAATGACAGATAGTACGGTTAGATCACTCCAACTGAGACACAGATGGCAGTAAAAACACAGAGGTCTTCACCTGTCCCTACTTTAACAAAAACTATAAAAAGAGGTTTTGGCTGGAGTTATACTTTAACTTTATAAAGTTCCTTTTGAAAAGAGTTTGATAGCTTTTTAACCATCTCTGCTGTGGACACAGAACTGATAGACAGACATAATGTATGCAACATTTGTTCTCTTAATTTTTATGCCTGTTTTATGGTTCTCTGTTCAGCCATTGGCTCTTCTGTTCTGCCGTTTTATGGCCATTTGCATTGGAAGTGCAGTCTCCTCACTGATTCTTCCTCTCTTCACAGGTCATCAATGCCATTGAGCAAGATTACCGCCTGCCTCCCCCCATGGACTGTCCAGCAGCCCTGCACCAGCTCATGCTAGACTGTTGGCAGAAGGATCGAAACAGCCGGCCGCGCTTTGGGGACATTGTCAATACTTTGGACAAGATGATCCGGAACCCCGCCAGCCTCAAAACAGTGGCCACCATCCCTGCTGTGTGAGTCTGGCCTGATCATAGGTCTCCTGTTAGTGGATGAAGCAGATTTGGAAGAAGAAAAGCATTTTGGGTTTTTAATGAAAGCACACATTACATTCAAACTCTGTCAGGGTATTTCATTATGATGTGTTATGTTTGGAGAGTAGGCCCTAGGTGTGATAAACCAGCACTGCCAAACAAAGCTATGCAGGTTGTGGCCTGTGTCCTACACTTAGGCCTTCATTTAACCTCTTGCCTGTCATGTATATCATACATATTTTGTGACTGCATCTTTTCTGTACATACAAATGTACCTATTTTATCAATGCGTTCAAAGCTTTAAAGAGACCCTGTCACCAACTTAAATCATTGCAGGTAAAAGAAGAGAAATACACTGTTAAAGTATTAAAGTATTTTAAAAGATAAATATTAAAAGATAAAGTATTTCAAGTCTTTTAAATGCTAAATTGCAGTGTTTTCTTTCCTTTACATTATTTTATATTCAATTGCAATGTACCTTTAAACTTGCTAGAAATTTTGACTAGTCAGTTCCCTAGCACAGCCCCCTTACTTGCATGCCCCACTTCTATGACTGTCTAATTACTGTCTGTGCTGGCCTAGCTCCTCCAACCCTCACCTCACTTACTTATATATCCTTTTATGGTAGCAGCAGGGGGGAGGAGTGAAAGGAAATGCCATAGAGCAGAAATTAAAATTGACGGAGGTCCAGTCCAGTAGAGGTCCGAATTGCATGTCTGATTTTTAATGGCACCTCGGAGCATCGGCAAATGACGCAAGTGCTGTGCAATTTTAAAAAAGGGTCAGGGAGTTATTTTCTTCATTTCTGCATGTAAGACAGCCTATTGAAATGAATGAGCTGCCTAAACGCAGAACAAAGGTAGCAATGATGTAAACCTAGCCGCAGACCCTTCACATCACAATCCCGTTATTACAACCGTGTTCTCAGGCCCCCCTGTCCCCTTTACATCAAGGACACCATTTTACACTACAGACCCCCCCCCCCCCCTTCAAAGCAGTATCTTCAAGGCAGGAGACACATCAGTTTGCAGTGGACATTGGAGGCAAGACAGTTCCAGATGGAAAGTGGGAAGCACATCAGTCTTCAGCTGACATCAGAGGCAGGAAAGCTCCAGATGGATGGTGGAAAACTGCACAACTTTTCCTGGTAACCAGCAGGTGATTGGTTAACTTTAAAAGTTAACTTGACAGCTCCCGCGCTTTATCTGGAGCCTACAATGTCCACACTAGACTGGTGTTCCTCCCGCCATCCATCCAGGGCTGTCTTGCCTCGATGTCAGCTGGATGAAGATGACAACAGTAGCAGTGGAAGATCCAGCTCCTAAATGGTGGGACCGCAGCCGGTGCAGATGGGACAGTGACTCAGTCTATATGAGGACTGCAGTCCACCATATAGTGATATCTGCTATAGAGTGTTAGCTCGGAGTCTGCTGACATCACATCCAAGATGGTGATGTCCAGCAGCAGTCTTAGTGTTTTTGGATGTTTATTAAGGTAAATAGCATGTCCAAAATACATTAAATGCACCTATAAATTGTGTGAATATTTTGCTAAAATGAATGGTCTGCCGACAGATTTGAAAAATCATGTGACACCCTTTGCTTTTTGTGGGAAAATATCCACCTGATTATCTTCACTTTTTACACTAGATCAAAGCACTCCCCCCACATGCCTGATCTATGAACCCTGTAAAGACGACAATGTGAAAGGGTGGTAGTTGTACAAATATCTGAGGATTATTTATTTTCCTGGTACAGAGTGCCATTTTTAAAAATGCATTATCTAGTATTATGAAGCCTCCCTGGACACCCTTTGCCCCTCGATTCCCCTGATCATTCCCTCCTGCCTTTCTGCCATGACTACTTCCTCAATCAACCTTTCAGCACCCTGTGCCCCTTTATCACTTTGGCTGCACTCCTCCCCTCTGATTACCTCTCTTCTAGGAACCCCTCTTCATACTGATTATTCTACCTGCACCACCTTATCATGGAAATCCTTTCCCCTCCTGCAGCCACCATTTGTCTTTGATCACCCTTCCAACGGCCCCTATTTCCACCTTGAAGCCTCACTTAGACAAGTTGCAGTCCGGCTGACCTTCAGCAGATCTACCTGCTTTGCAGAGTGTTTTTACTACTATAGTTTAATGTAGTGAGCTTGTTTACAAGCTTCTTTTTCTAATTATGTAGGTGCTGCGTTGTGTTGACTTTGTAGGCACATGTGTACCACTGTCTGCTTACAATCTGTAATATACTGAACACTAACTCTAGGTACCACCATCATTTCTAATGTTGTCTCATATTTTTACAGGCCTTCCCAGCCACTGCTTGACCGCTCCATCCCAGACTTCACAGCCTTTACCTCAGTGGATGACTGGTTGAGTGCTATCAAAATGGGACAGTACAGAGATAACTTCCTGAGCTCTGGTTTCACCTCATTGCAGCTTGTTGCCCAGATGACTCCAGAGTATGTATTCATCTGTCAAGCGGACTTCAGCTAAAACTTGGGATATGAATACCAGATGTGAGATACCTCTTCAAGGATGTTAAGGGTTTCAGATTAGCATGTTCCACTGCACTTCTTCCTTTGCTGGCTAAAAAAAGAGCAATTGTCTCCCTTTGATCTTTAGTCAAATATGAGCAGCAAACAAGGAAACTGTGTAGGGGATTATAGCAGCACCCAGGGGTATCCATTTCCCTTGATGCTTGAATGAGGTTGCCACCAAGACTGGCCCTGTAAACTAAAATGCATCATGCCAGTGTTTGAACAATATATAAGTAAGGTTAATCATATCACAGGAGGACTGGGCTGGGTTGCCACCATTGCCAGGACTGATTAGAAATGTTGGGCTCGTGGTCCTGAGTGGAGAAAATTTCAATAATCAGACGTCAATAGGAGTAAGACCCATAGCCAGTGGCACATGCTGAGCATTATATAGCTACCTGTTCTGCTCTCAGACCTGAAATATTAGCCTCTTGGCAAAAGGTAATCTTCCAGCACCAACTTCATTTGCGGCTCTAGGATGTGATATAACCAAATCCCAAAGGTCACAAAAGAAAGGATGCTGGAAGATGTCATAATATGTGCATTGTGGTGATTTTGCAGATTTCTGGTTAGCTATATTTGGCCATATACAGTTTCACAACAGTTGCCTACATAACAATAACAAATCTTAATTCTAAAGTCATACTAATAGAAGAGAGAGCAGAAACACTTTCACAACATTTTGTATATTTGCTCTATTCACATTTGATCTTACATGGTTTTCTGTGTGTCAGTTTTTATTATGTGTCTGTCTATTTTCATAGTATCTCTGAAATATTGTTCTGTCTTTTTTAGGGACCTTCTGAGGATAGGAATTACATTAGCTGGACACCAGAAAAAAATCCTGAACTGTATTCAGTCCATGAGGGTCCAAATGAGCCAGTCACCCACCTCTATGGCATGAGACTCTGGGATGGGTGAGGGATCCCTCAAGGGTGGGGGAGGGAAAGAGAAGAGGTTGAAGATATGAAAGGCTTGGGCAGTGGGGGAAGATAAACTTTGCAATTCAAGAAGTAACACTTCAGGATCAATGGTGGACCACCCGTCAGGAACGTAAAGGCCAATACTTTGCCTCTTTTCTATGTAGAGCAGTGCAGATCTAAAAAATAAAATAAACAAAAACGTCAGTTGATGGATATACACTGTGTTTTCAGATGACCAATGTTTCAGAATGGTTGGACATCTCTTGAGAAGGTCTTGCCTGTGAACATCAGTGGTATTGGTTGAAATAAAGGTGCTTAATTTCATCATCATACAATTGCAAAGGGATGGAGGATGCCACATTAAGCCCGCTTCACCCATGAATGGATGCCACATGTATCCTCATTTCTGACACTGTTGCTGCATCAAGGAGGAAGGCAACTGCACACTTCCATCTTCTCTTTATTGTTTTGATTGTCTTCATATTGAAGATGAGTTTGTATGGCAGAACAAACATTTTTTCTTCTTTTTTTGCTTGCATTTTTTGGCAAAAACAAAAAAAAGGAAAAACGTAAAAAAAAAAAAATTCAGGATGATTACCTGACATTGTGTCTACCTTTGTGTCCTGTATGTCAAAAAATTTAAAATACAGATACCAGAGCTGTGGATTCCATGTATATAGAGGGATTGAGGTCTATTAAACAGAGAGGACAAATTCTCTTTCTTTTGGAACTTTATCTGGATATATCAGACTTTGTCTTGGAAGCCAAACAATGCCAGGAAGCGGCTTAAGGATGGGGACATTGAGGACATCTGCTTAAGTTGATGTGGTTTAATTCTGGAATAACATGACATAAAGAACACTGGGCTTGTGCACAAACCCAAGACCATCTTATCACTTGTGGAATTATTTAATGTACACCTGGCAGCAGAATCTTCTAGATCATGAGGTGAGACCCGGCATATTTTGGTGTCTTCTGCTAAACAGTGTTGAAACTGCATTCTGGGGTCATGTTTTGGATATATCTGTAGCCCTTTAGAGAGTAGGATGGACCATAACTGCACAATCAATACAAATGCCCAATAAATGAATGGGCCATTGCTGCAGAACAAAGGTTTGTATACTCTTTTACTGAACCCAAATGTGTTCTGATGTTATTCTAGAATAATAAAAAAAAAGCTTACTCTAGAATGTGTAACATAATTTACAATTTTGGACCTCAGATAGGCTTACAAGTAAAAGTGTCTTGTTGCCTTTTACAAAATATTAAAAAAAAAATTGAAAACCTAACAATTTTTGTTTATTTAGTCTTGGATAGAGTGGGAATGAGTTTTCATTTCTTCCATGTTTCTATTTCTGATTGTGATCTACGCTTCCTGTACTTGTGTCACCCTTGCAAGAAAAAAGAGGTGAAGTGGTTAATGGAATGGAAAGGCAAGCCAGCATTAAAAACATTGTCAAAAGTTGTAGCTCTTCCTCTCTCCTTTATAAATATGGTTTTGTTTTTGTCTGCATATATGTTGGGAAGTTTTTCAATCACTTCCTGTCCAGTGAAGAACTGAAGGGAAATCTCCCCAATAGGGACAGAGACAGCAATAAAAATCTGAAAGAGGCTGCTTTATCCAAAATGTAATGAGTTTCGGCCTTTTAGATATTTGTAAAATCCAGGTCTATTCATACATGATTTCACACACAATTTTCCAGTTGAATTCAGTTTGAAAATGTGTTTAACCTGGGTGAAAGTTATGTGAACCTTGTGGGAAAACATTTATAAAAGGGCTGCTATGCAACCATTTAACATACTAGTACACTGGTGTCAGAGGTGTCCTGTCAATGACTGGTTTCGTGTATCTCCCTAGTACTCAAGTAGAAGAATTTTTTGACTGCATTTACTCACAGTCCTTGAAGTGTCTTTTGATATCGTGTTCATAATAGGCAATGCAATCATATAACTCCCCTCTTTTTTTTCCTTTTTTGAGAATGTGTTAAAAGGAACACTGCCACCTTATCCAGGCATGGAGTAAACAATGGCAGCAACTCCAAAGTGGACATTGTGCCATTGAAGATATATAAGAAAATGTAGTTGGTTATCTTCCATGCTGTCATTTACTCAGCACTATGTTTTGAGTGAAGCTATCCTTTACACTGGGGTTCGTATTCTTTTTACATTTACAGATCCCTAATGGATTGCCCAATATGTCCCAATACCCCCTTCCCCTAACTGATAAAATCATCAGTATCAATGATACCCATATAAGATGTCCATAGCTTGATTTTACTTTATGGATTTCTAGGAACAGAACAGCTGAAATAAATTTTAAGGATTTATCATATTTGTTTTTATGAAAATGGCAAATCACAAACACACAGCTAGTGAGGTTTTTGCTGTTGTTGTTGTGCAGTTGAGGTACTGGCAGCTCGCATGTCATCTTACACATCAAGTTGATGTGTTTGCTTTCAAGTCAGTTTCAGTAAGGCATTCCTCTTGGTTGCCAAACTTGTACAAAAATAAGCTTCACACAAGCTACAATACTTGTCTTTTTATACTTCATTCCATCCCAGATGTCATTCTTTTGCTCTTATTCAGCCCTAAAGAAGGGAAGGGGCTTATAGCCCCCAAAACACATTGGGGTTTATTTACTAAAGCTGGAGAGTGCAAAATCAGGCTCACTTCTGCATAGAAACCAATCAGCTTCTAACCTCAGCTTGTTCAATTAAGCTTTGGCAAGGAAACCTGGAAGCTGATTGGTTTCTATGCAGAAGTGAGCCTGATTTTGCACTCTTCAGCTTTAGTAAATAAACCCAATTGGCTTTTATGGTACATTAAAAAAAAGTGTAAATGGATTAAAAAAAATGTATGCAATTTTTCAAAAATAAAATCTTTTTTTTCTAAAATGTTTAAATAAAATCTTTAAACTAAAATGTGAGACTGTATAAGCAGAGTATTGCTTCTACCCCCTACCTTATTTGTAGAAAAAAAAACTGGACAGCTATTTTTCAGTCAATAGAACGTTTTCTATGAACGTAGCTCTTAAGATACTTACAAGCTTTTAATGTCTATTTTCCTTGGCATTTCATTACTGGAGACTTCTAGTTGCTGTAGATAATTCACTATTTTCTACTTTGTATTGTGATTGTAGAGCACATTGACTCCAATTAAGAGAAAAGTGCAAATACAGAGCAAGCCGTGTTGCATTAACAGAATATAAATAAGCTGACACTTGCCAGCTTGCCATACTTCCTAATGGGTCCCGTCTCTTGTACTGCATTTCTCCATCTCATCTTTATTATTTGTCCCTGCTTTTTATGCCGATAATTCTGTCTCTTTCATTGTCGCTATCAAGTACAAGATGCTTTTCAATTGTCACTTTCATCACGGCATTTCTATAGCAACAGTAAAATCCCAGCTTAGCATTCGCATGGCTTTATTTATTTATTTTGTTGTTGCCTTGTACTGGATTTGCTCACAGACTTCTGACAGCTCATATTTCAAATTCCAAGTCACGACAAATAAACAGCTGAGAGAAAATGTGCCGGGCAGGTAAATGTCTGGCTGATGATTACCAAACACTGGCTTTGCAAAAACATTGCATGACCATTTTGAGATTTTTTTTTTGATATGTATCTTTTTCAATAGAAGTCCACTATGAGCCATTTTTATTTAACCATTGTAACAAGGAATGAGGGTGAGCTCAGTCTGACCAAATAGAACACAAAACTTTTCTGACTTTTCTAGGTACTTATTTTAATTACATTGCCATAAAAACTATTTCATTATTTTTTGTATTTTTAATGAAATCCTCATTAAACATAGATTATACTTGCTGTTCAATTACACATGCTTCATAATCTCTTTCAACACTGCTTACCCACATAGAGATTCTAATCATTTAGCCTCCATACATACCCATCAGACCTATTACACACATAGTATGTCATATCTCTATTGTGTTCAACAAACAAAACCCACATTTTCCCAGCACACTTACCAGCTAGCCAAAAAAATACACTGTCTAAAATTGTGTATCTGAATTTTCTCCCCCAGCCCCATCTGCCGCCTCCTTGTGACAGCAGGCCAGGGATCTTCTCCCCGCACCGTTGTCACAATATGAAAACAGTGCAGCCTACACGGCCGTGTCATTCATTTAGTTCTGTGAATGCCTACAAATAGTGATGACTTGTAATTCTCAATGAACTGCAAGGGCGCTGGTGAGTGCTCTCATAGTCAATTGAGCTTCCTGGACTTTAGTAATTGCCTGCCTGTATTGGAGGTATGGGTAGACACTGTACTGACAGTCTGCAAGAGTTTGCAATCAGCTGATCATGGGTGCAACGCTTTACAGACTCTGAAGAAAAAAAATAAATGCACATTTTTTTACCTGCAAAAATTTGCATTTATTTTTTTTTTAAGGTGAACTTATGCTTTAAAAACCAAGGTTTTAGTTGCACAACATCTGCAAATATATACTGTATGTAAGCCACACTGCCTTGTGAAGGCCCCTTTTTAAAGTGTGGTCCCAACTCTAATCCTTGAGAGACTCCATGCGTTGTATTCAATGTGGATATTGTAGGTGGTCACTTATTTAGTCTTCAGTGGCAAAACTATTGGCTTATACAGTACAGAAACACATATTAATGCATGTAACCAAACTTTGGCAAGATTAGTAGGGCTGCAGTATGTTTGTCATGTTTATGCATTTCAGTATCGAGAGCTATTTTGTCATTTTTGTTTAGGTCATGAGTTTGTTTATTGGCCCCTTCTCCGTGTGTTGCATACACTCTGTTTTAGCCAAAGTCCTGTACTGTAAAAGCTGTGGAAAAAAATTTTGACAGAGGGCAAAGGACTGGTTGCCTATATTGTAGGTTCCCTGCGGCTAATGTTTTTTTCCTCGTTACTGACTTACAATGCTTTGTTCTGCACTGTGTCTCTGTGTGGAGGAGGCCACATTGGTAGAGAAGCAGAACTTTGCCTTTTCTTGCCTGTACTGCCACACCGCTGATTTTGGGTGCTGAATGGTGTAGGTATTAATCAAAAAACAAAAGGAAAAGTGGAGGAAGCATAGATCCACGAAATAATCGAAGCAGAAAAAGGGTAGATATTTGTATGGAAGCTCCTCAGGTACAGCTTTCTCCACAGGAAGGAAAACTGTGAGCAACACGGTAGTGACATCACTAAATCTCCTTTCAAACCTGGTAAAACCAGCAGTCAGAGACAGCAATGCCTTATATCAGCCTTTTCTGGATGCCTTCAGGTGTCTTCAAGGGTGCCTTGGCAAAATGCCTAAGAATTGTATACAAGCCAGGAGGTGGATCAAGCCTGCCTTTTAGTTGCACAAAGTCACATGTTTTCACTGTGCTCCATTACCATCTTCCATTGGTTGATACGGAAGTTGTTGGCTGCCTGACAGCATACTCCTCTGCCCCTCTCCATCAGCACTGGGGTCACACTAGCTGAGTGAGTGAGTGAGTGAGTGAAACATTGCAATTACTAGTCAGTACCAGTATGTAAAGGTGTATTTGCTTTGGGAGAATAAATTACTTTGGTTGTCCTGCATGTGTGGATGTTGCTGTGTTATGTAAGACCATCAGTTAAGTTTTCACATTTTATCATGGGGTGCCTCAAAATTGTGCAGAATTTTAAAGGGTGCCTTGACTGGAAAAAAGTTGAGAAGCACTGCCTTCGATCTCATGCTGCAGATTTACAGCTATGAGGCTTAAAGCGGTAGTAAAGTCTTTTCGATAAGGGAAAAAAAAAAATGGGCCCCTGCAGGTTTAAGTGATAACATACTAGTATGCATTGCATACTAGTACACTATGACCCCCAAATGGAGTCCTCCACTGTCACGGCTCTCCCCAGTGCACAGTCCATCTGCCTTCTGGGTTTTGCATCAGTCCATCTGCCTTCTGGGTTTTGTATCTGTAGACGCTTGAATGGCCAGGCAGAGGTGACATCACTGACTCAAGTCAGATCACCATGGCACACAGAGAGGGCCATAAATGTGGTCTGAGCTGCACATGTGAGCCTCAGATCACATTACCCTGTCTGTCAGTGGTTTTTGTAATAACTGACTTATTACCACGTTAAGGCCCAGAAAGTGCATTGCTGTCTTTCAGGAGGAATTCAGCACAAAACGTGAATCTTTCATGCATATTCAAAATAAGCACTTCTAGGTGTTCCTCGCAATGCAAGGGTTAAATGAGCGATTAGGCCTAGGGAGCTGCTTTACTTATCTGAGTCTCCACTCCTGCAGTTCTTTTCCAGGCTGTAAGACTGGTCTCCACAGCTTCTTATCCCCTAGGCTCCAACAGTCATAGGTTCTCTGACAATCATTAAGTCAAACTCAGAGCCCATTGCCCTGCATTGGATGTCAGGGGAGCATACATGCTGCAAAATGCAGTACATGTGCACACTTGCTGCAACTGTGCGTCTGCACACGCTTGTGATTTCCTGCATGTGCACAAATACTGTGAACCCTATGCTTTTGGTGTTAGAAAATTTACCAAGGCAGCCATATATTGAAGTCATCCCTAATTGTAGACCTTTAACTCCATCCCTGCAATGTGCTGTGATTTTCTTCGGAACTAAATCAAATGATCCAAGCACTGATATATGTATGGATTTGTCATTTTCTTAACTACAGGCTGGATAGTTTATGGAACTAATCCTGAGCAGGCACGAAAGAGATTTTAATTTTTAAACCCTGCCGATGAAAAGTATATAAAGTGGCAGTGAACTCAGTTGGAGCTCAGCTTTTAAATAACTGGCAGCAGGGCTCATTATTTGTGGGAAGTAACAGTAAGACATTACAGGCCCAGTTTGGAGCCCATTTAAAGCGGCTTGTTGTTAGTGACAGATTGAGACTGGCTTAGCATTATACCTTTCTCTTTAGGTCATTGTAAGGACAATCATTTATTTGTACTCTGTGTGGCAGAGGTGTCATTAGGGCTGCCTTGAGGTCTGAGTATGAAAAGCAATTGAGAACGTAGTGCTGCCATTTGATAATTAGGTTGATGAATCATAACTTTTCACTGGATTGATATAGTGGGGAGCTTTTAGTTATGGCTGACTGACATTTTTTAAAAGGAAACTATGGACAGTTATGGCAATTGCTAAGTCCATTATGGCCACCTGCTTTCTTTAACGTGTTAAATGGCAAATGAAAAGTAATGTGTTTATTCATATATATATATATATATATATTCTATATATATATATATATATAATATATATTGTGCTCTGGTCCCACAGTGAGTTTACCTCTTCTTATAACTGCAACAAATCAGCAACTACACATTTTTATAATATGGAAACTTCAATACTAAGACAAAGCTGTAGATGAAAATAGTTTTTTTTTAATGGTCTTCAAAATAAAGTTTTAAAGGGCAATTCCTGCATTCTAGAAATTTAAAAATGCGTTCTGCTATATATGTGTTTTTTTATAAAAGCAAGGGGACTACAGGCCAAAATGTACTTGGAGTTTAGCCCCCGTACCCATTCTAGTACAGTTTTTTCAATATCTATTGTGCCCACTGAAAATTAAGTGTTCAGATTTCCAAGGTGCAGTTAGGATGCGCCTACAGATTATGGTACTCCCCCGATACTTCGTCCTCCTGTTGCAGGTGATACATGTCTGCTATACCTGCAAAGAAAACAAAGGGCCCATGTAAATGGCTAATTAGGTCAGTACAGCACCTAGATCAGTGTATTGGCTGGTGTTTCCAATCAGCTGGGGACAGGACCTGTACAAATCTCAATGACAGACTGACACTGTCCATAGCTGTTCACATGCAATTGCAATGTCCAGGAGGCCACATGAGTCCTTTACTGCAGGTAATCCCTTCATGTGTGATTGTCTACAGTTTTCTGTTTATAGAGTCATTCTGTCATTTGTTTTCTACAGGCTTCCTGTCCATGGCTGATTGTAAACCCCTGGCCATACCGCTACAGAAATGCACTGATCTGGGCAGTGTACAGCCCTATTAGTCATGTCCATAAGCCCTGACTTGCAATTCCAGTTTTGTTTAGAAATACACAATCCCCTTTAGGTGGTACATACACATTTCCAAGATTTAGGATAACTCTGTTGCAGAACGATGTATGGAACCCCACCAAGTTGTCCTACTGTTAATTCTTAAAATGGTTGTAAAGCTAGAAGGTTTTTCACCTTAATGCATTCTATGCATTAAGGTAAAAAATCTTCTGTGGTCTGCTCTCTCCCCAGGCCCCCCATTTCTATATTACCTCTGCCTGATCTTGATGTGCACAAGAACAGTAGCTCTCTCTCTCCTCAGTGGTTCAGAGACAACAGTGGAAGCCATTGACTCCTGCTGCTATCAATCACAGCCAGTGAGGAGAGAGGGCGGGCTCAGACGTGATCTGTATTTTAATGGACATACAGAGCGGGGCTCAGGAGCAAGAGTGCATGAATGTCCCCATGGCAAGCTGCTTGTTATGAGGGCACTTGGCAGGGGAAAGGAATCAGAAGAGGAGGATTGGGGCTACTCTGTGCAAAACCATTGTACAGAGCAGGTAAGTAAAAATTATTGTTATTTAAAAAAAAATGAAAATCCTAGGTTTACAATTACTTTAATTACTTTTCATTACAAAATGACCTAAATTCCTTTTTTTTTCTAATGACATTGGAGTTGTTAAGTTGCTGTTAGGTCTGGCGACTCATACCTCCCATACTCACATGGAAGAGGAAAACAATTTTTATTGGGTATACTTGAAAATTCTGTAGAACAATATCCCATAAACAGATTTTGGGAAGCTTTTTAGTTCTCAATTTTTGCCTTCGAATATATAAAAGAACAACGTGTAATTCTGGATAATAGTAACACATTTGCACAGTGGTGTCGCTATTGGGGTGCGAGGGGTGTGGAATGCCCCCGGATGGCACCCATCAGAGGGGTGACACCATCCAGGGCCACCAGCAGTGGGTGTTAAGTCCAGAGAAGGCAGTGACCATGACATCCCTGTCCTGCTGGTGGTTGATGCAGTGCTTTAAGAGGACTCAGATGCTGGCCAGGATGATAGATAGTGGATCCATGGGGACGAGGGCAGTGGCAGCCGCTCTGGGCATTTTCCTTCCTGGGGACTTCAGTGGAGGGGCAGGGCTACAGTCCACATCCATCCATAGGGAACAGGAAGTTGGACATGGTGCTGAAGAGAGCTGGAGATGACAGACAGTGCACTGAAGAGTGGTCTCGGAGCAACCTCTATTATGTGAAGCAGGTCAGTGAAAGACTGTGAACGCCAGCACAGCAGCTTACTGTGTCCCTGTTTAAATCTATACCTGCCAGGCTGAGCGTTCCTACCCAGTGTCCATACACCAGGTGCTATTCCCATATTAACAACCCTGATCTCTATGCACAGAATATCTGCAGTCTCTGATCATTTCCTTTACCATGTCTGCAGTCTCTGACTGTCTCCTGTACTATGTCTGCAGTCTCTGATCATCTCCTGTACTATGTCTGCAGTCTCTGACCATGTCCTGTAGTATTTCCACAGTATCTGACTGTCTCCTGTAGTAGGTGCTGGGACAGCCCAGGCCTAAAGCTGTGTAAGGGGCTCCAAACGTTCTGATGGCTGTCTCTTGTAGTATGTCTGCAGTCTCTGGCCATTTCCTGTACTACGTATATGTATTCACAGACTCTTGACTGTCTCCTGTAGTATGTCCACAATCTCTGACTGTCTCCTGTAGTATGTCTGCAGTCTCTGTCTCCTGTAGTATGTATGCAGTCTCTGGCCATCTCCAGTAGTATGTCCGCATTCTCTGACCATCTCCTATACATTATCTAAAGTCTCTAACTGTCTCCTGTAGTATATCCGCTGTCTCTGACTGTCTCCTGTAGTATGTCCGTGGTCTCTGACAATCTCCTGTAGTATAGTATGTTTGCAGTCTCTGGCCATCTCAATAGTATGTCCTCAGTTTCTGACTATTTCCTGTACATTATCTGCAGTCTCTGACGGTCTGCTGTAGTTTGTCTGCAGTTTTTGACTGTCTCCTGAAGTATGTTTGCAGTCTCTGACCATCTCCTGTAGTTTGTCCACAGTCTCTGACCGTCTCCTGTAGTATGTCCACAGTCTCTGACAATCTCCTGTAGTAGGTCCTGGTCGAGCCCAGGTCTAAAGCTGTGTAAGGTCCCCCACATTTTCTGATGGGTGCCCTGACACCATCAAGTAAGAAGTGATATCCAACCATGATGGTGTCACCCCAATCCTTGACAGCACACGGATTGGTATGCCAGCACCATTTACAGGGACCAGTTTGGGGTGTCACCATGTGCTGATAGCCCAAAACTAGTCTGTTCAGCGCTCTGCAGGGTACTGTGGCAGACTAAACAGGAGAGAGCCCAGAGGGGTGATGGGGGTGAGATCATGATTACTGCACCAGATAACACCAACCCTAGTGACGCCACTGCATTTGCAGACTGTTCCTTATTTTGAAAATGTGTAATATAAGTCTTAAAGGGGGCTTACTAATACACATACCATCTTGTGTATGTATTTCATGTTTGTACGTTTACTAGCATTATGTATTACACAAAGTATCATATATGAAGATAGCAGACCCTACCTGCAATTTACTGTTACTATGTTACTAAATGACAAAGACTGTCACAGACTGCTCACAAATAACCTAGGATTGTCAGAAATTGCTTGCATGTAAAAAATGACTGTCAGAGACTACTTGCATATTTATACATTCCAATGTTCTTCCATTGACAGGGAATCTGATCTGTAGATAATGCAAGCCAAACTAGATCTAACAGAAAAAAAGAAACAATAATATATGACATCAAGAAATATTTCAACCACCGAAGATCATCCACGTGTCATATACTATAGCCAAAGGTCCTATTGGCATGGGGCCAAACTCCAGGCAAACTACTAAATACAGAAAAGCATTTCTCTCTATGGTAGAGATTTATACAACTCTATAATACTGCAAATAACACCATCCTGTCTGAGAGGGGAGGAGAACCTCATATATCTCTGTTGCCTTTAAGTATTTATTTTATATTTATAGTATTTATAGGTGTTATTTCCTCAAAGATTGTAACTGAACAGTGAAAGGAGAAGCAGCACACTTATGAGCTCATATCTTCTTGTACTGCAGCACCATTGATTGGATCCTTGTGCTGCTTCTCCTTCCTCCACTTTAAGCTCTGCTGTACAGGGACTGGAAGATCCTTTGGATGCTCACCTTTGTACATTTATTAATATATCACTGAATGCAGAGCTGAATTCATTTGTGTCTTTTATATCTACATGGAATTCAACTTTCAATGTACAGCTGATCCACCAGTGGCGGGTATCCAATTTGCACTAGAGCTGTACAAGAAGGGAAGAGTCCTCCTCTCTTCCTGCAGGCCAGTCTGACCCTGCTTTAAAAACCTTTAACTTCAAAGTACACTAAAAACTTAAATCAAATACAACAGCTTCCTTCCTTCCTTCACCCTCATGGCAATGTGCTTAGTATTAAAGTGGTTGTAAACCCATACATATGTATACCCAGTGAAGTGACTATCCTCAGATGAAACAAATCTTCCTACTTAAACTGTACCTGTTTATCTGCAGTATTCTCTTCTTTAAACCTGTTCAAAGTCCAGAATGTATACAGCTTGTCTGAGCTTTCAGAAAGCAAGGGGTGGAGGGGACGTTACGCTCTGCAGAGCTCAATGAGAGCTGATTGGTGGGAAGGGACACATCCCCCTTCACACAGCACACAGAAACAGAGCTGAGGTTGTCACTCACAGGCTATGTGCTGGAGCTCCCTCTCCTGTCACCTCTTTTTTATCTCTTGGTGTCACGAAAACTTATCAGAAGTGACTCATGCAGATAGCAGAGGAAAAAAGCAACAGACAGACACTTAGAGCTCTGGATTGAGACAAGTACACACTATAGAGGAATATGCTTTGTTCATATTTCATGTCAGAGGTTTACAACCACTTTAAGTGCAAGTTAAATGGAGGAGCAACATAATTTCTTTTCAAATCCCAGACAGAAGATAGTGGGATGTGGACTCTGATAGTATGATCATCTGTCAGTAAATGACTAGTTCCATGTGGCAGATGCATAATCATTCGAATTGTCAGTGCAATGATGACCTGAGCCTGTGTAGCACTGTCTCCATGCAGACCACTTCAGTCGAGTGCTGCTTATACCCTTTACAGTGATTGCGTAACACACTGGAGAGGAGGGGGCCAACGTAATGTAGAGCAAGAAACACTCAAGTGTCAGTGCATCTCTCATATCTTATGAGCAAAGTGCAGTCAGCTTTCTTTTTTTTTCTTAACCTCACTTGATATTTGTGCTTGGACCAATTCTCACCATAGTATCACCCTGTAAACATACCCAGTATGCAGGTTACATGCCTTGTTTCATAAATAAATACATTTGCAGTAATAAACAATAAAATATATGTTCTATGCTCATATTTCTTCTTGGAAGTAGGTAAGAAAAGAGAGCAAACTGTAGTTGAATTGTCTCTTATGCATTCTGGAGGACCACATGCAGGCCCTTTTTTCACCTACTGTTTGGCCCATTTGTTTGTTTTAATGTTTACTCATACTAGTGACAGAATCATTTTCTTAAGAATGGCTTATAGTAATTAAAGCCTAAGTTTAGTAAAAAATAAAACAAAAAGAATAACATCAGCACAAGGGACATTTCTTATTATCAGTCAGATGTGTCCCTTATGCTGCTGGCTCCTGGTTTAATCTAAGTTTTCCTTCTCTGATTTCTCTCCACTCCAGTGTGATGGGTTAATAGAGCCGAGTGACCTGTCATTTGCACCCTTGAAGAGTGTCGACTATGCCTGTTCTTTCCATCCAATTCCTTCATTCAGAGAGGCTGTACTATAGCTTCTATGAATGAAAAGCTCTCTATGAATGGAGGAGGCAGAACTTTTATTCATTTGCCCATCCCTCATTCATAAATAGCTTTTCATTCATGAGAGAGATAGTACAGCTTCTGTGAATGCAGAGGTAGGTGAAGCAGGGGTGCATAGTTGGTAGTCTTGATCAGTGCTTATGATAGGTCTCTCGGCTGTATTAAGCCCTGCTGCACCGAAAGGTTACGGGGGGCAGTGGGGAAAGATTTCAACAAAAGCAAGGGCCAGCACCACAAAGGACACATTGAATTGATCGTTACACTAAAATAGCCTTGCATCTAAACTGATGTGCCTCTGAAAAGCAATCTACTGTGTATTGTAGTGTTCAGAAAAGCAGATACATTGAGGATGGAAAGATGTCTTGGCACAGTGTGTTTACATTTAAAATGAATAGTGCTGCATCAAAAGGTAATATCATGTGCATTGCAGTTAGGCATGGTAAAAGCATGTACCGTAGTGCTAAGTGTAAATCCCCCCCAAGATGTATATCTACATTAAAGGTTAAATTTGTTTGTAACAATTTTTCACTAAAAGTATGATTTTTCTAAAAGAGAAATATATGAACTACAGCAAGAAGCAGTGAGTAGCCAAATATTAACTCCCATGGCTTAATACACACATCTCTACTTAGACAAAAATTTTACAAATATGCACTAGGATGGAAGGCATTGGGGGGGAGCTTGGTGATGTGAGTGGCAGGCATATGTAGTTCGCAATAAAGATCTGCTCACCACTATTATCTACACTATTTAACAAAAAACAATAAATTCTATTTAAGGGTGCACAAAACCCTCCACAATGTATCAATCTGCTAGTATAATATTTTCAATATACACCATATGGAGTAAACCCACTACATAACATAAATACTTTTGTAATAAAGTTGTATTAGGAATATATGTACAATTACGCAAAAAGTACAAATATCCAAGTATGTCATATGACATCAAGCATAGCACAACATTAGTAAATGCTCAACTGTTAATTGCAATATTTAACCAACAAAAAAAATCATACTTGTATATAGGTAAAGTGATATATGGCAGCTTATGTTCAGAAATATATACAGAAATCCAGTACCCAGAATGGAAAAAATGAGAGGAAAAGCAGAGCCAGACACTGGTGAAAAAAGAGAGGAGGAGGAAGAACCCAACATTTCGGGTTTGTAAGAACACCGTTGCTCAAGAACCTCCTGACCATGCATTTAAAACACACATCTCTACTTAGACAAAAACTTAAAAAAAAGTTCACTGGGATGAAATGCATCGGGGCAGAGCTATGTGATGTGAGTGGCATGCCTAGCCTGGGTAAGCATGGAGGGCTTCACTAGTGCAATGGGGAGCATTGTAGGGGAAAGTTGTAGATGGAATGAGGCATATGCTTGTGTATAGACAAGTATTCTATATAGTGGCTGTGGTTGTATACCCAAATTTTATGTGAGTGCAATGATTTCTTATTACTACTGTTATTAAACTTGTGGGATTTACCAATATCTATTGATGATGATGTGTATGATCAAGAGACATACAGTTGAAAGTGATGGAGATTGTAGCAGGAGAGGAGACCTCTGGATATAGGTTGGAAAGTATTGAAGAAAAAAAGAGATTGTAATCCCTAGGAGTTTCATAAATAAGAGCCCTAGACTTTCTATAATTACAGAGGCTAGTAAACTGATGGCTGAGTTTTCCATTTTGGATGGAGGGACTCACAACTATAGGGGAAGTGAAGATTACAAAAACACTTTGGTCATCCAAGATCAAGTCACTTTGGTGTTTTTACACAAACCTTAGGCCTCTTTGAAACACCCATTCAGGAGCAGAAAAAACTGCCCCCAATTACCCACTTAAAATCTAAAATAAAACCAAAGGAAGCTGATTACATGCCATGGTGTGATAGTTTGTGTTTTGGCCTGTTCAAATTTATAAAAGTTTACAGACAGGCAGCACTGCCTGTTGTACTCGGCCATTCAAGTCAATAAGGGCTTGTCTTGACCACAAGTCAAACACATGGCTTGCATTTGTGGTATAGTAGTCCCATTGTAAATTGCTCTGCAAAAAAAGGAAAACAAAAACAGGCATTTAGGAGGCAGCAAGACTGCTTTTCAGAGCATGGGCTAGTGTGAACCTAGTCTTATATATGATTTGAAGAAGATTCTAAAGAGACGTTTTTGTATCACTTTTGATTCATTTATCTAACATTGGATAATAACATAGGTGATTGGGACTATTAAGGAGCACTACATTGTGTCAGATATATTTAGGCAAATATTAACACCCATGGGTTAATACACACATCTCTACTCAAAACATTACTATGCAGCAAGATCACTTGGATTTTAACTGCTAGTTGTATAGGGATCATGATCATCCTTTGGTCTATTCAAAGCCTCCAGAAAGACCTAAAATTGTATGATACTGTAGAATAGAAAGGCGGCCACCA